CCCCACCCTGTCAGAAACAGGCCTTGCTTTCCTCTGTGTGACAGCCATTCCCATCCTAGAACCCAGGGCCTTGAGAGGCTGCTGATTACTGCTTGGGATTCCCTGATGGCCACACTATCAGAAGTTACAGCTCCTAAAAGCTGCGAGTAAATCATAACGCTTATGCACAGGACCCAGCTGACATGGTCAGGGTCTCGAATGGCAGCCTTTAACAATGGGTGTGTGTCTATAACCCGTGTGGACATTCGATTAGCATTTATGTCCAGGCACTGGCGAAAATTGTCTGTAATGCTGTCGAGCGCCATTGCTCCTGGTGGATAATCACATAGTGCGATGATTTATTTGCTGTGGCTTTGATTTCGGAGGAGCAGGGCGATCCGATTAGCAGAGGTGCTAGAGAACAAGATGAGTTTTTCTGGCTTCAGACCTCCTGTCTGGAAATGGTCTAATGCTTTTTGACAGACTTCATCAGATTAGGTGTGTTGTGGTTCATGAAATTAAAAATACACATATCATAAAGTGCTTTCTTTATCAGCAGGCGAATCTAAGGGGAGGCTATTATGTACACGAGTCTAGCTTTTCCATGTGAGCAGAGTTGGGCCACTTTGTTGGTAGATTTAGTGCTGTGAGATGTACGGCCTCGTATTTCTGTCTGGTGTCAGAGACTCTTCATTCTGTGTTCTCTATGGAGCATCTAAAATGGAAAAACACATGGGCTTCCCTTGGTGTAGTCTGCCATGACATGTCTTGGCGTTGCTGGTATCCCTGTAAGATAAACAGCCCTCTGCAAGGGGCTCCCGCCTGTGTACCGCTGCACTCTCCAACTAGAGACCAAGGAGAGGCCTTGCATGTGTTGCTGGTGTTGCTTTGTCAGTGAACAATTGAGGGCAGACCTGGTTCGCAGTTGCAAGTCTTTCTCCTGTTGATTCATGGGCTATGCAGAGACGTACAGAGATACCCCGTAAGTTGACTTTCCTTGTTAGCTGCCCTTGAGTCAGCCCCAGACTCATGGCCCCCTCGTACACAATGAGACTGGGCTGTGGTGCTCCAGAGGGTTTTCCTTGGCTGATTTGAAGAAGCTGATCACCAAGCTGTTCTTCCTCGTCTGTCTTAGTCTGGAAGCTCTAATGAAACCTGTTCAGTATCATATTGTTGTTACTGTTGTCAAGTCTGTTCCAAACTCATAGCAACCCTGTGTACAACAGACCAAAACACTGCCCCGTCCGGTGCCATCCTCACAAGTATTGTTCTGTTGGAACCATTGTTGCAGCCACAGTTGTTAATCCATCTCATCAGGGGTCTTCAGCTTTTTCACTGTCCTTCTAGTTTACTAAGCATGAGGTCTTTTTTTTCCCCTAGGGACTGGTCTCTCCTCTCTTGAGAACACGTCCAAAGTACGTGAGACAAAGTCTCACTGTCTTCGCATCAATATCATAGGAGCACACAGATAAGCCTTCCTTGTCAGTTAAATTGTAACAGTTATATAGCATCCATCAGCTAATCAATCGTAGGAGATTAGGCTCCAGTCTAGTGTTTCTTAAACCTGGTTGATGAATGAGCAAATCTCTTAGTTCCACATTTGGGGAGGGACACAGGACAATGTATTCCTTTTAACTTCAAAGATAAGTTCTGGTGGGCAGCTGTGATTGGGAACGCCCTCCTAAGTCTCATGCCTTTTTAAAGTCACTAAGGCTCCTGAGCATTGAGACTTCTCCAGGTGACCCAGTGAATTTGCATCAGAGCTAAGACCCGACTTCTGGTTCTGTTCCTTTTCATTATGCCTGTTGGCCACCCATAACATTTCAGTGAAATACAGTGATTTTTGTCATGGGTCAGAAACGGAAAGACCTCGTGGGTATTGCAGTTGTCTTGTCGGCCTGTGTAAGGCGACAGCAAATGAGTGATAAAGCCAGTTCTTGTTGTGGAAGTAGGGCTGGCTTTAAGGGACAAGATAACATTTCACAAAATATATAAGCCCCAACCATAACCACTGGCATCAAGTTGATTCTGATTCATAGTGACCTCATAGGACAGATCAGAACAGCCCCTTTCCAAGGCTGCAGTCTTTACAGAAGCAGACTGCTACATCTTTCTCCCATAGAGCAGCTGGTAGATGCAAACCACCCCCCTCTTGCCTAGCCCACCGCATTAACCATGGTGCCACCAGGGCTCTCTTGGATGTGGTCGAAGGGTTGCTGCTACTGTCCGTGTTCTAGGTATGGCTCCCACTTTGTAAGAAGTACTGCCAGAGTGCTCTTTAGAGGCAAGGATGGCGAGACTTTGTCTTACGTACTCTGGACATGTTGTCAGGAGAGACCAGTCCCTGGAGAAGGACATCATATCATGTTAGGTAAAGTAGAGGGGCAACGAAGGAGAGGAAGGCCCTCAAGGAGATGGATTGAGACGGTAGCTGCAACAATGGGCTCAGGCACAGGAACCATTGTGAGGAGGGCGCAGGACCGGGTGGGGTTCTGTTCTGTTGTGCATGAGGTCACTATGGGTCAGAACTGACTGTATGGCACCTAACAACAGCAACAAGTGGCAGGACTGTGCTACAAAAATCAAAAACAAAGCAAAACCTGTTTGTCTTCCAAATCAGTACTTTTTGTTCAAATGTCCAAGTCAAGAATTCTGCTTTGTCAGAATAGATAAGGAATGGTACACTTGAAGCATTTCAGATGGTATCGAGACTTCCGGGCATTGCTGCTTGTACACTTGTGTCCAGTATCTCCCTGAAAGCACTCGGGACACTTTCCATAAATATTTGTATCTGATGAGCAACAGCTATGCTGTCGAACTATCGTGCCTTCATTCCCCAGGAGTGAATGGGTTCCCATGACTTGTTTTGTTTGCCCTTCTCCTATTCCAAGGGTGTCGAATGTTCAAATACCTCTCATGCCAAGTTTTATTGTGAGTTGTGATATATGCCGCAGGGAATTTGTTAATGATAATAAAGTATGGGAGTTGGTAAATCATTGACTTTTCTTGCCATGAGTGAGTAGATTCAACATAATAATCACCTAAAACATTACACGCCCGGCATCCTGCCCAGTGAGCCCTTCCCTTGCATTTCCTCATTAAGTCTTACCCACCCTGTGAGAGAAATATTTTTAGTACCCTCACTTACATATGAGGAAGCAGAGGTGTAAAGAGGTGGCGTGACTTGCCCAAAGCTCAATAGCTAGTGAATGATAGTCCTGGGATGTTTCCTGAGTCGAAAGTGGAGGACTTCGGGCTGATGGTTTTCAGGATCTTGGCGTCCTAGTTCTCGCGTGTTGCCATAGCAGAAAACCCACCAAACATGGGTGGCCTGGAAAATGAGATTTTTAAAAGGAGATTTAATCTCTTACAATGTAGGAAGCTAGAAGTTTAAATTCAGGGTACCAGATCTAGGTAAAAACATTCTCTCTTCACTCCAGGGGAAGGCCCTTGTCTCCTTTCAGCATTTGTAGGCTTGGCCAACCTTGGAGACCTCCATGCGTCTTGCATCTGTCTTCCCCCTGGGTTTTGGGGTTCTTAGGTGGAAGCCCTCAGTATAGAAGATATGCCTCACTCCTGCCCCCCCGCCCCCCACTTTTTTTCTTGATACCCTCTTCCTCTGCTTGCTTGTTGGATCCTTTTTATATTTCAAAAGATAATGGCTCAAGATACAAACAAATTCTGTAGCTTGTACCCTGCCTCATTACCATACTTACTGCCATGGAGTTCATTCTGACACACAGTGACCCTATAGGACAGAGGGTAAATGCCCCTTTGGGTTTCTAAGGCGAAACATCTTTATGGGAGCAGGAAGTTTCATCTCGCTCCCTCAGAGCAGCTGATGGACTCAAACTGCTCTAATCCTGCCTCATTCACATCCTAGAGGTTAGTGTTTATAGCACAAGAGAATTAGGTCATTAAAATAGAGGATAATTGCATCATACTAAGAATCATGGCTGAGTAATGCATGTCTCTTAAGCTTGAATAAATTCGATCTAGCCCCCCCCCCAAAAAAAAAAAAAAAGAATCATGGCCTACCCCTGGAGTCAGCAAACTTTGGAGAGGAAGGAGCCAATTCTGTCATTCACCACATCTTAAAAATTATTCAAGAGCCATAAATACAGTTTTACAAACAAATGAACTCACCATTATCTGTGAATACAAGCATCTAGCATTTTTCAATTTTACTTCAAGCTGCAGTTTGCCGACTCCTGTTGGCCAAATTGACACCTCGTTCAAGAACACACGATTCAATGTATAAATATGGGTGGGGGCATTTAGAACCAGAATCTTTGTTATGTAATGGGGATCTAGAACCTGGGACATACTTTATCCTATTTCTAGGACAAAGTTTCCCAACAATTATAGCCCTGTGGCTAAAGACTTAAAATGTGGCTTGTAAAAGGACAGGCTACGAAAGAGGCCAGGACCCAGTGTTGTTTTTTTCACACAGTATTCTGCCCCTGCCACCCAGAACAAACAAGGCTAGGGGCACACAAATGTTAGATGTATGCATGGATCAATGGTTGGTTGGGTAGACAGACAATTGGATGGATGCATAGATGGGTAGATGGGTGGAAGGCAGGAAGGATGGATGGAGGTACTGCTGTTTAGCGGTATACAATGACATGGATGCATGGGGAAGAAGGAAGAATGGCGATTGATGGCTGGATGGGGATAGACATGCCGACATGAATAGATATTTGAAGGTAAGGAGAGAACTGAGGTATGTAGGAGAGAGCAATGGATTAGAACACGAATGAAGTAAAAGAGATACAAAGAGAAGACAGAATTTTCCAACTTTTGCTAAAGATACCATTACCAAAAGTTCACAACTTTTTGCTATTTCCCATTCATTTTCTGTGCACCCAGATCTCCTTTGGATGTTTAATCTACTTTGGCAAGAGTGTTTTATGGGGATCTTTTTTCTCTACCAAAACTTTTCTCACCTTTCTATGGAACTTTTCAGGTTTGTTTAGATCGTTTGTGGAATGACTCATTTTCTTTTCTTTCTTAACCAGGATTGACCGTAAGATGTCAAGTGCTCACACCAATTATAAGCTAGACGAGGCACAAGCTATCATGAATGAACTCCGGACCATCAAAAAAGCCATTTGTACAGGGGAGAAGGAGAGGCGGGACCTGATGCAGGTGAGACGTGGGGTTGCAGCCCTTCCTCAGAGCCACTGTCTTGTTATCTGGCTGTGTCCTTTCTTCTGATCTCTCTCTCTATCTCTCTCTCTAGAGAGAGACTTTTTGTCTACACACACACACACACACACACACACACACACACATATTGAAGCCCTGATGATGCAAATGGCAAAGTGCTCAACTACTAACCGAAAGATCATTGGTTCCAACCCACCCCAAGGCTCCTCAGGGGAAAGACCTGGCAGTCTGCTTCCATAAAGATGACAGCTTAGAAACTCTAGGGGGCAGTTCTACTCTGTCACATGGTTATGCTATGAGTTCAAAACAACTCAGCTATACGGCGGACAACACAATATATGTATGCATGACAAAAAAACCACAAACCTTAGGACCATGGGGACTTTTTTCTCTCATAATTCTGAATGCCAGAAGCTCAAAGTCAGGGTGTCAGCAGGACTCTGCTGTCTTGAAAGGCTCTAGATAGAAGAATCCTTCTTGCCTTTTCTAGCTTCCGGTTGCTGCTGGCAAACCTGGTGTTTCTTGGCTTGTAGATGCATCCCTCCTGCCTCTGCCTCTGTTGTCACATGGTCTTCTCCCTGTCTCCATGTCTATATTTATTCTTCTTACAAGGACATCAGTCATTGGAGTTAGGTCCCACCCTCAATCCAGTATGGCCGCACCTTAACTTGTTGACTTCGTCAAAGACCCATTTGCCAAATAAAGTCACATTTGCTGGCACCAGAGTTTAGGATTTCAGGATATATTCTTAGGGGACACAGTTCAACTCAACAGCCAATGAGAATACCTTTCCATCGTTCAACAGTCAAAATGCTAGAACGTATGTTAGAAAGTCTTGCTATTGGCCCATTCTCCCACCAACAAACTACTACGAAGGATTGATTGATGTGTGCAGACACACAGAAGTAGGAACGCATATTCACCTCTCTCACACAGCTCGGGACCTTTCACACTGGTCTGTCCTCACTCACGTGACCTGTACACAAGGAGCTGCTTCATTCCTTTGAAATGACTGCTTAGCGTTCCACCCTGTGGCTGTTTGAAAGTGACCGTTGCTGGGAGCATTGAGCTTTTGCCATTTTGCCAGTGGGCGTCTGCTGGTCTATCTGCTGGATGTGGGAGTGCATTCAGGTGTTTCTGTGGCTTTTCATTTCTCTCAATAACCCAAGTGAACCCATGGTACCTGGAAGGCTATTGTCTAGATTCTCAAGAATGTGCAACATGCCAACTCTGACTCAAAGACCAAATGAGACAAGTGCACAAATAAGTACTGAGTCTGACAGCGTTTTCTGAAGTCAAGGCAGGGGGCTACTTGTGTCAGGTTCTCGGGTGCTTGCCAGAACTACAGAAATCTGTATTTGCCAACAGCCTTTTCTGGTCATGATAAGCAAAGGATGAATTAGTAGATTTCCTCAGAGCAATAGTGACAACAGGAAAAACAGCCATTTCTGAGACCTCAATTGGAGAGCCATTCTCCGCACAAGACAAGCCTAAGTTCTAGTGTGGACCATGGTGTTTCCTGGTGGAAAAGGTTTTTTCCCTTAGGCCAGTGGTCCTCAACCTTCCTCATGCTGCGACCCTTTCATACAGTTCTTCATGTTGTGGTGACCCCCCTAGCCATAAAATTATTTTTGTTGCTACTTCATAGCTGTCATTTTGCTACTGTTAAGAATTCGGCGACCCCTGTGAAAGGGTCATTCGACACCCCCCCCCCTGCCCTGTTTTCTGAGGCCACAATGTGCAGGACTGCGTAAGCCACCTTGTTGCAATGCTTGGGTGCCCCACCATGGAGGCAGGAGATAAGAGGTCTGGAAGAAGCTTCAGGGCCCCAGCATCTTCTTTGAAGTGTCTGCAGTTTAAGTCCTAGAAGCTCCACGGAGAGGTGTAGGCCATGTCCTCTTCCATTACAATGAAGTAAGCCCCCTGGTCTTTCTGATCCGAACTCATCACTGACTCATGGAGAGAGAGTCGGCGGGGTGGGGGTGGGGCGGCAGTTCTCTGCTAATCAAATAGCAGATGTAGAAGCAAAGCAGAAAGATCCTTTCTAAAGGAGAGATCAACATTCATATCTCTCTTCAAATCTCTCATCTCCTTCTATTCCAGAGCCTGGCTAAGCTTACTGATGGCTTCAAGAACTGCTGCTCTCTGGCAGAAGTGCTCCAAGATGTCCCTCCCAATCCGGGTGCACTTGGGGATTCTTGTTTACCTCAACAGTTCTGTGATGCTGGGTCTCAGACCGACATCATCGGAGAGGTATGCTCACCAGTTGCCGAGAGAGAAGAGGGCAGCTTTTGTGTGGCCATCACTCATTTTGTTTAATTTTCCATTTTCACGTCAGAATGATTTTGGCTTTTGTGCAGTTCAGTCTGAAGTGAAAAGACTGTGCCTCACCTCCAGCTGAGAAGGTTCCGTAGTGAACGAGTCAATCGAACTGCTGAATGCCTCGATCCCTGTGATTTGGAGTCTTACAAATGGCAGAATGGTTTTGAGAACTGAGTTTACTGTTTTCATGACAGACCTAAGACCTGTTTGAATGTGGGTCAGCAAAGTGTTTCTGTGAAGGGCCTGATAGTAAATAAGTTTGGCCTTGTGGGCCATGTGGTCTCTGTTGCAACTACTCCGCAGTGCCACAGTAGCGCAAAAGCTGCCACAAATGAATCGTAAATGGATGTCTGTGGCTGTGTGCCAATAAAACTTTATTTACAAAAACAAGTGGTCCAGCCTGTGTGTAGTTGGCTGATTTCTGACTTCAACCAGTGATTTCTAAAGGCTTTTTTGTAGCTGACCCACCCTTGGGTTTATCCCTGAATGCTGTTCCTTATTCCTCTAGTAAAATGGCAGGAAATGGAATTAAATTGAATTTTGTGTGAGACTTGGAAACATTTCAGAATGCCCCTTTGGATAATTTTTGAAGCCTTGAGTTAGAAAAATGCAAAACAGAACAAAACAAAAACAAGCACCGCCACCAAGGTTGGCAATAACTTGTTTGAAGCTGGGTGATGAGTACTTCAAGTCCCTGCTATTGTCATGTCAGTGAGGGGTCATTGGCGTTGGCGTTAACCACTTGAAAAAGCAGTTTGGATTGCTTTTTTTCCCTTTGAGCTTATTAAGTAAAGATGAGATACTAATGGACTGCAGAAGGCAGCAGGGGGGATGCGGTGGGTGGGTGAAGAGAGACAACAGAAAAGAGGCAGACAGCTCAAGGTTTTAAATAATTAGCTAATTTTTAAAGCTTTGGCAAAGAATGCCACTTTGTGGTACAAAATATAATAAATAATGACTTAGGCTTACTAGAACTGTCCCCATTTCAATTTCCCCTTCATTATTCTCAAACATACACTTGTGACCGTGTGTCTTCTTGGGTTTAACGGGTCTGTCCACCATCTGTAACACCCAGAGAACAGTAAAGGATGCCCAGCCTTTTGCATGAAGGTTTCAGAGTAAGGAAGGAAAGAAGTACAAGGTTCAGGGAATTCCTCGAATAGTCCATTGGTCAGCATGAGGTTAAGGTTCTTGCGCGTACAGTTTGTGCTCAACTGCTTACCCTAAAGGTTGACAGTTGCTTAGGAGATGCTGTGCTTTAGGTAAAGGGAAAATTTGAAAATGGATGTTGATGGTGGTTGTGCAACATGATAAATGTAGTTACAGTCACTGAATTGGACAGGTCGAGTATTGAAATGGCAAATGTTTTGTTGCATATATATTTACCATATCATAGCTGGTGTAAGGAGCTCTGGTAGTGCTGTGGGTTAGGCATTGGGCTGCTAACCACAAGGTTCAAACTCACCAGCTGCTCCTTGGCCATCTTTTACCTTAAAGATCTGTACTCTTGGAAACAATCTATCCATGTATCTATCAGAATTGACTTTTGACAGTGGGTTGGGTTCGTATCTGGTCTAATAAAATTCAGATCCACTAGTGGAGCCAGTTGATTGAAAATACAGTTATAGGCTATTCCCAGGAACCCAGGAAGAGGTAACGAAGGTGAATTATCCTTTTGGTTTTGTATGGAAACTTGATTCACTTTTTAATATTGGTGTGAAAAACCGTAAGTACAACTACCGGTTGGTTTCTGAGCACTGCATTTTTTTATTCAAATTTCTGAGTGATACCCCTGTTCCTGTCGCTGTCTCTCTTTTTACCTTTCATTCTAAGGTACTCCCTGGGCCATCAGACAGTGTCTTGTAACCTACTACTCCATGGTCCTCAACTTACTGAGGAACAGGAGACTGTGCTGGCCCAAATGGGATGAAATGGTTTGCCTTTGTACCGACTTCTACTAAATACTTTTCTATTTTCTGTTTTGCTTTTATTGTGTTGAAATCCACATAACATAAAAGTGGCCATTAACCAATTTAAAGAGCACACTCCTCTGGCATTTAGAGCACTCGCAGTGTTGTGAAAGCACTACCTCTGTATAGTCCCAGAATGTTTCCATCACCCCAAGTAGACACCAAGCACCCATTAGCAGTCACTCCCCATTCCTCACAACCCCTCGCCCTAGGCAACCATTCATCTGCTTCCGGGCTCTATAGATCCACCGGGTTGTTGCATACTAATGGAGTCGAACTGCTTGGCCTTTGGGATCTGGCTTCCTTCACTCAGAATGTTTTTGAGATTCGCCCATGTTCTATCTCTATTTTCAATCTTCATCTGTCATTGTTGCTTGAAATTGCACAATAGAGGAAGACATTCCCACCGTTAAAAAAAAAAGGTTACTTTTAAAAAATGCACCACTTTGGGTAAAGCTGAAGTATTCTGGCCCCTCTCCAAGTACTGCCAAGCAGAGGTCTTCTGCAGAGTACTGTTTGGTCGGTCTCCTTCTAGATGGAAAGAAAAGAAGGTCCCTCATTGTTGAAATGAATTTTCTGTTTTGAAAATATGTCTTTTAAAGCAATCGTGGATCTATGGCATATCGTTCTCCAAACTGTTAGCTATTTGTGTACAGTTCAGTGACACCGTCACCTTGCTGTACACCTGTCGCCAGGATCTAGGATCCTAGACAGAAGCGCAAGGCTCCTGAAGCAATCACTCCCGCTTCTCCTCCCTTCTGCCTGCCTCCAGGAGCTGTGGGTGGACTTCGGCCTCTTTCCCCTTGCTTACGCATTCTGCGCGGATTTCCCGTAATGGAGGTCATATGCCATTTGTCCTTTTGTATTTGACCCATCTCATTCAGCATCATGGGTTCAAGGCTTATCAGAGCATATTACAACGTGACTTTAATATATGCTTTCCTTTTTGTGTGTGTGTCTGTTCCTGAAAGTTTGTCTTTGATGAGAAAACAAGACTTGTAGACCGAGTCCGACTTAACTGGCAGTATGAAGAAGCCAGGAAGAGGTAAGAAGCTCTTTTTCAAGTTTTGCCTTCTGCTTCTTTCCCCTTTCCCGCGGAAAGAGGTTCGGCAGAGTTCCAATGTATGCTTGTCCACAGTTTTATAAGAGAGCAGTGCCTGATATAAGATATTGGGTATGCATTTATATTTAGCTTATTGCTACCTGTGATACATTTCAAGTGCATTTAAAATGTGACATTCTCAGTATTTCAAACGGTTATAACGACTTGATCCATGAAGAAGCGATTTTTTTGAAAACTTATCCTCCCAGAACTCTTTGTCTCCCTCTCTCCTCCTCTCCTTCTGTTCATTCTTCCTACAGATTGAGCATCAGCCACTCGTCCCAGCTTTAGTTCAATCATTGATTTCCCTGTACCTACCTATGTGGTTCCTGATGCCTTAGGTTAATGGGCAAAGCTACATGTCTTGGTTTAAAAGACACTTTCTTTACTGTTGGGTCAACATGAGATAACAGACCTATTTATTTTTGGTGGGAAGTGTGTAAATGCCATCAGTTACATTGAACTGCAGTTGACCTAATCTGCCCGCCGAAGATCAAGATTTGGCTGTGTTTGTGAATTCCTATCTCTCCTTCCTTTCTTTCCTCCCTCCTGTTTCACCTTTTGTTTCTTGTCTTCCCTTCCTCGTGTTTCACAGGGCATGGGCAAAACAAGGAAGGCAGGGTGTGCCTTTCATGGCCAGAATTTTTATTGGGTCACATTTCGTTCTTGGGCCTCATTGTTGTTAGTTGTCATCAAGTGGATTCCAGCTCGTGGTGACCCCATGTGTGTGGGATAGAACTGTCCTCGGTAGGGTTTTCAAGCCTGGAACCTTGGGAAGCACATTTCCGGGCCTGTCTTCCAAAGGGCCCCTGGGTAGGTTTGAACAGTCATATTTTAATGCAACCAACACGAGTCCTTCAATGTTTGTTTGCCAACTGCGCCCTCCCCTGTGAGGTATTTTTGTAAGCGCCATTATAAAATTTGGCACTGTGGTGCTTACGAAAATACCTTGGCGGTGGGGGTGCTTAACCGTTTGCGCAACCCAGAGTCCATCCTCCTGGGCATGGAGCCCTGTTTTCGCAGCCCGAGTCGTCAGTGGCTTTCATGTCCTCTTTTGAAAGCCTTTCCCTCTTTTGTATCTTCTGGAAAAAGCCTTAAAACCAAATTATTTTCAAATGTCCTTCTGAAAACTAAGAAGTATATATCTCTGCTTAATGTTTCTTTTGTCTCAATGAAACAGGACCTGGGGGTGGGGGTGGGGTGGGTGGAGCAGAAGGCCAGGGAGGGAGAGGGAGATCTGTTCTGGAAAGCAAAAAGAGCTGAGCCCGCGCAGTATAGCGGGCAGTGCACGAGTGTCTGGAAATCCACTTTGCTGGCTTTTTCGAAAATGTAAAAATAGCAGCACAGGCGGATCATATGACTCCCTGCTGCAGGGCAAGTGAACGATGAGGGGCCCTGTGTGTGTGTGTGTGTGTGTGTGTGTGTGTGTGTGTACATGTGCGCACAAGGAGGGAAGGCTTATAGCCATCCTTCCTTGCCTGTTACGATGTCCTCGTGTTGGGCGTTACGCGTCCCCGTGAACAAAGTTCCTTCAGCTGGGCTGGCTATCTCTGTGTCCACATTCTTCACTTATCATACATTCCTCCGCTCTGGCTTGCCTGCGCTTGTGAGTGGCTATTGTCTCTTCTGCACAGTCCTCTGCTCCTGCTTGCGTTCTGCTGAAACGTCTCCGTGTGGGTGCTGGAATTTGCTGTGCTGTCTTAGAATGCAGAAAGTCGATCATCGCTCCACTGGAACATGATTGTTTCAGAGTTTGCTGTGACATTTATCAAACATAGCAAGTGCGTTCTTTGTCTTCTAGAGATCGTGTTGGTGTAGAGGGAGTAACCCTTTCGAGATTCAGAGGCTGCATTTGTGAAACTCGCTGAGTGTTTAAGAACAGTATTCAGGGATCACCCACCGGCCTTCATTAATATCTTTGAGAATGTATGAGACGGCTTCAAAAAGTTCATGGGGAAAAAAAATCCATGACCTTTTCATTCCATTTTCCTATGAATTATTTGAAACTCCCTCCATATTCTTTCTAGATTGATGGCCCCTTCTTAGCATCAGGCAACAGCTATGACTGCAGAGAGGAGGTTCATACCCGAGCATTTCAGCCTTTGGAACAGCAAGGGCTTCTCAAAAACACCTTTCAGGGCTGCAGCAGCACCATTTCCAAAGCCGAGCTGAATGTTGAAGCCATCCTAGGTTAACTCGCTCAAGTGCCTTCTCCTTAACCGGCAGCATGGGGGTTCTGCATGTGGGGGGAGAGAGGCTTGACCTCTACTCCCTTCCCCAGAAAGACTTTCCTATATATGAAGACCTTTTCAGTTGTCAAAACTCTCGCACGCGTGCACGCACGCACGCACGCGCACACACACACATTTTATAGGGATCTAATATGTAGAGAACAGGTGCTGCTAAAGATCATGCAATGCACAGGACAGGCCCACAGCAAAGAATGATCTGCCCCTAAATGACAGTAGTTTGAGAAACTTTAGCTAAGGGTAATCTGAGACATAGCAGGGAATTGGGGGGGTTGCCCATCTTGTTCCTAAAATCCATACTTGAGTCAGAATTGATGCTGTGGCAACCGTTTCATACAGTCAATGCCTGAGAAACATCCTATGACCTGGGTGGATCTGGAAGGATTAGGACCACAGTCTCATGGGATAACTTAGTCAGTTGGCTTAGATAATCCATAAAGATACTGTTGTACATCCTAGCTTGGTGTATAGTGTCTGCGAGCTTAAAGCTTACGAGCAGCGATGTGAAATACAACTATTTGTCTTGTTTGGAGCAAAAGAGAATGAGTGAAAGAAACAAAAGACTCAAAAAGAACCTACTGCACAGGGTTAACCTTCCTTATGAGACACAACCGCTGTGAACATTATTTCTCACTGATTCCAGGCATGCTGGAACCCCCAAATGCACATATCATTACCCCAACTTTCCTTAATCTTTAGATTCAAAACCTCAAAAAAAAGTTCCCTAGTCAAATCACATAGAACCTTGTCATGGATGGTATCTGGTTAGTGAAGTACTTTAAATAGAAGAATAAGCTCCTCTCCTGGCAGGAGGAGGCGGAGGGGGAAGAGGGGTAGCTTTCTCAACTTCATACGGAGAGTGTTTCCTGGGTTTGCAAATCATGATGCTAACTTCAATCATTTTCGTAGAGACTAGCTCAGTCTTCTATTTATTTTGATACTGGCTATCACTGCCAGCCATTCTCACCAGGGACACATTTGAAGACAGACTGGGAGAAAATGTCGAACAGAAATTTGAATTCCTTAAAAAGGCCAGACTTACTGGCTCAATAGAGAGCATGACCCTAACATATCCTTGAATTTGAAGCTGTAGCCAGTCTTAAGGCAAATTTATTATCTGACAGAAAGGTGACCTTCAAGACTAGTCTGTTTCTTTTGCACATTACTCAAAGTGATCTCTTAAATAATCTGTGCTATGAGACCAAGGGGTCAAGGTTTACCCGAAAGCAAAGATGAGAAGGCAAGGAGGGGCCAGGAAGCTAGTGCGATAGAAGCAGACCAAGCAGAAGGGAAATAATGGGAGTCCTGACACATTGTGAAAATGTTAACCAATGTCACGGAAAGCCTTGCATAAAAATGATTGTCCTTCTGAAATTATTAAACCTAATCTATGCATATAGTCACCTAAAACATATTGAATATGTCTATGTCTCTCAAATGACTGTTGCTGCTTTCTTTCCCCTTCAGGAAGATCTCTTTGAATTCCAAAAGCAGACCATAGGGTAGGAACATTTCAAATGAGTCGCTTCAAAGTTTGGGTTTTTGTTTTTTCTCCAAGAGTCAAGTGAGAGGAGCACATCTTTTTGAGTCTCTCCAGATGATGCAGATGGCTCTCTTTTTACCTGAGAGCACATGTCCCAGAACTGTGCCAACTGCAGCCATCTCCATAGAAACACGGCCTGCCCAGATAGGAACAAAACATTCTGTCCATCCAGTTTTCTTTCTCTGCCTTAGTGTCTGCTGCCAAGGTCAGGCCTGCTGCTCCTCTGTTGACAGCAGTCTGTGCAGCTCATGCTCCCAATGCGATGTGGCCGGTAACTTGGACGTTTTCTTCCTTTCTTTAGGTGTCAAGTTTGAGGGCGGGAACTGTTAAGGATTAAAGCCCCCCCCCCCAAAAAAAAATGTATTGAAGTCCTAACCCCCATGCCTTTGAGTGTATTCTTGTTTGGAAATAGGGTCTTCCTTTTGCAGATGTTATTTTGTAAATTAGGCCATACCACAGTATGGCCCTAGTCCTAATCCCTTTTGAGTGTTGCTGTTTTATATTTTTAATTGTGAATTTGGTACCTGGAGGTTTACCTTACAAGATCTTCAGTTTTGTATTCAACAACTTAAGCTATGTATCAACACCCACCCACCCACCACCAATAGCATACTTTACCCCAACCCTTAGATTTCTCTTTTCCTCTTCTTTCCCTTGAGTGGCATTTTATAAATGAGAGGAGCAGTCACCGAGCAGAGTCATGTGAAGACAGTCATGTGAAGATGAATCTGCAAGCCAAGGAATGTCACAAGACACCTGGGGCTATCACAGCTGTGAGAGACCAGAAAGTATCTTCCTTGAGAGCCTTCAGCAAGAACAGGGCCCTGCTCACGCCCTGATTTCAAGCTTCTAGCCCCTAGTACTATGAGACAATGAGTTTCTGTTCTTAAAAGCCACCCACTTTGTGGGATTTTGTTACAGAAGCCCTAGGAGACTAAGACAGGGGCTTAGTTACTGAAGACAATGAAACGTGCCCTCTCCATCTGTAATTGTTTCGTAGCACTGTTGTAACAAAGTACCACACACTGGGCAGCCCATTAAAAACAGAAGTCTACAGTCTCACAGTCCTGGAGGCTAGAGGTCCAAATGATGGGGTGTTAGCTCTGTTGATTTCTTTTAGAGGCGTTAAGGGAGGATCTATGCCATGCCTCTTCCTGCCTTCTGGTGATGGCCTGTGATCCTTGGTGTTCTAATCTCTGCCCATCTCCACATGGCAGCCTGTGTGTCTGGGTGGGTTTCTTTTCCTCTTTTATAAGGTCACCACTCATACTGAATTAGGATCCATCCCACCCCAGTATGACTTCATGTTAACCTAATTGATACCATCTTCAAAGAACAAAGTTACACCCACCGGTTAAGATTTTAGCGTTAGTCTTCTCCAAGTGCGCCATGAGACTTCATCTTTCCATTGGACTTTGACCTTAGCTGAGCTTTTCTTGAGCCTTTTCTTCTTTAAAAGAAAACAAAATAAAACATTTTACTTCTAGAACAGTTTTAGGTTTACAGAAAAGTTTTACAGAAGGTACAGCGAGTCCTCATTTATCCCTCCTCCCCCTCACACACCCCTTCTCTCTCTCTCTCTCTCTTAACACTTCGCATGCCTGTGGTGTGGTCCATTTGTTACAAATAATGAGCTGAAATTGAAACATACTATCAATTCAAGCTCATAGCCAACCTTTGCTTTGAATTTAAATGGATATTTTAGAAATGGCATAGAAACAAACTAAGGAGGAAGAAAAAGCAGATATTTCAAACCTATAGCTGTCACTGAAACCAGGAGGCACTGAGCCAAGACCATTTTCTGCAAGCAGACAAAGGGCCCCATTGCCCCCATCCCCATCATGCGGGATGGTGGGCTGCCTGGGGTTTGGGTGGATCCTTCTGAAAGCAGCAACATTTTAGGAACCTGAGCAGTTGTGTAATGGATTTTAGATTTCAGGTACAGATCCAGAGCACCGGAGCTTCCCACTTAAATGTAAGGTTGCCAAGAGCCTGAGCCGACTGAGCAGACACTAACAACAACTCTTGTCTTGTCGTGTAAAACAGTGCTCCGTGTGGTCTTAAAGGTGCCTTTTAGTTTGAGAAAATGCAGCTTGGGTTTCTGATGACTGTGTGAGGTGCTCCGGTGGTTTCTGCAGCATCAGTGCGGATTTTCACTCCTGGTTTCATAGTGTGCCTGCTCTGCAACAGACGAGGTGGGCAAAAACAGTTATTCCTGTTTGACGTCTGTCCACTTTAGGACCTGTTCAGGGAATATAATTTGGAAACTGAAAGTGGAAGGCCTGACTGAGGAGCTGCTTGCTTTTCTTCACTGTCCAAGACCCAGGGGCACAGAGTTGAAAGCTTCGAAAGGCATTTGTGAAAGCTTATACGGAGACCGTAAAAAGTATTACCTATCAAATACAAGAATCAATAAAGAATGTAGTTGACTTGTGGGAGCAAAAACCCAAACCCTCGCCAGTTGTAAAGTACTCTTTATTCTCTTTAACGATGCACTTGGAAGTTTTTTCTTCTTGCTTTTTGGGCAAACTTCCATCATGACCTTGCTTAGCTTCTGTGTATTTAATTTCACTGAAATGCAATTTCAAGGAAACATTTTTCTGGAAAGGATTTTTCCTTTGCTACTCAGAATGGGTAGGAAGGCGCTGGGAGAAGTGAGGAGAACCATCTTATCTATCCCATGGGGGTGTGGGGGTGTGTGTGGAGAGTGGTTGCTGTCAAGTAGACTCCAATTCATGGTAATTCCATGTGTTTTAGAGCACACCTGGGCTTCAGTGACTGGTATTTCTGAGGCATGGGCACCGGACATTATTGCTAGGGCACTCCAGGGTAGATTCGGACCACCATCCAACCTTTTGGTTGGCAGCCAAGCACACCGGCTCTTAGTTCCACTCGGGCACTCCAATCCCATTGGAATGTACAAGAAATCATTGAAGGACATGTTCTTTCCACTTCCAGTCCAGGTAGACCAGCATGTATGTGTCTCTTGGCCTGGCCGAAGGCAGGACCTAGTGTCCACATCTGGTAGACCCTTGGTTTCCCCTCTAAGGGCGCAGATGTAGGAAAGGCCATTGTACTTTCTGAAATAGCCAGTATTCTTCTAGATTCATCTATTGCTCAAAAATGAGCTTGCAAACATTATGGTTGTGGTGCAGTTGTAGCACACACACAGCTCAAGGCATTGTTCCCGAGCCCAGCAGGGCTTACATGGCCCAGTCAACGTTCCAGGTGGGTGGCACGAAGGCAGCAGCATCCTCGTTTTGTTTTTCCGGAGAGGTCATCCCTCACCATCCGTCCTTTCGTGTTTGTCCTCCGAGCTGTGGAAAGTTCCAGTCCACTGTTCCCTTTTGGCCCCGGTGCTCCTGCTTGCATGCCAGCAATGGGCCGGCCTTTTGAAATTTGCCCTTTACTTCTCCTTCCTCCTGGAATTCATCCCCCCCGGCCCCCCTCTTTCTTCTTTCTGATAGTAGCTAGTGCTTGAAGCTTTCCTGGAAAGGCTGATTATCTTAGGACAGGATCGCCACCACCCCCAGCAGCCTGAGTCATCGCAGAAGGGCAGCTAGCTAGCCTAGAGCTGCCGGACTCCGATGGAATCTCAGTCTCCTCACCCATAAACCTGCCTTTAGAGGTCATTGGTCTACAAGGACCTCGGCAAACGCAAGACGTGCTTTGTCACATGGCTCTGTTAGCGACATGGAACGTTCCTGTGGATCCCATACACTGAAATGAAAAAAAGCCGGAGGCCACAGTGATCTTGCTTGGGTGACGAGATCCTTCATGAGTTATTCCCTATTTTCGACTCTAGTAGGAGGTCCCCGAAATTTCATTGTGTATAATGTCTGACTTGGTACCTTGCAGTGTATTTTCCTTGGGTCTCAGTTATATGGATCCCGTAAAGTTGAATCCTACTAATTAGACATAGGTGGACACCTCGGCCCACTTGACTCCACAGTCCTGTTTAGCTGCCTCTGCCCTTCGTTGGGTCAGTGACACCACTCAGCACCACTTTCCAACACATTTCCAGGAGCTATGTTTTAAGGGAGTCAAAAACTTGTGTCGAGCAGTTCCTGCCGTGAAACTAGTAGCATATCAAACGAGTGAAATGCATGCTTGCTTTTCAGCTGTAATGGGTCATAGCTGTGGGTTTTCCTGCTTGCCTCAATACCCGCAGGGGCTGGCGAGTCTCTGTGCTCACAGCTATTCTGGTGGAGCCTGACTTATTGCAGGGCCGGCCAACAGGTTTTCGTAGATGTGCCAGCTGCAAGCTCTGAGCCGTGTCTGTGTGGAGTGAGCAGGTTTCTGCAGCCTGGACCCAATGGGCAGGCTGGCAGCCCTGATGAGTAGCAGGCGCCCTGGGCGCTTTCGTCCTGCGTTTGCCATGCCCATCACTGGAGAGCAGCGAGTCTCAGACTTGAGTGCCTTGGATTTCCGGTGTGGCCTGAGCCAGGGTGTGTGCAGCCCCTGCCTTCCGATCCTTGCATTCCAGTGCACAGGTGAGCGGTGCATCTCTCGCTTACGGTTTAGGCGGGTTGTTACCGGGGAGGCTCTGCAGTGAGGACTGAAAGCCCGAAGCTTCTCTGTGGGGATCAAGCACAGTGGTTAGCTCCTGATCAGGGCAGGGAGAGACTAAGGGAAGAGAGTGCCTCTGTTCACACCCATCACAGAGAAGGCCACTGGTCTGAACCAACATGCAGTACTGGGTCCAAGGAGGGCTGCCACCTTGGTTTCAAGTCTTTGAAACAAGCAGGAGAGGACATTATTGTTACTCTCTGACTCATTGACCAGGGAGGATTATGTAAAGGACGCACACCCCATTTCTATGACTCATTGCCTCTAAAATCCTTGCTTGCATCATGAAGGGTTTACGCAGGGCAGTTGGGTTTACAGCATCCAAGGATTGGTGCCGAGAATGGGTTCTGGTAGTCAGTTGAGTTCACTCCTTGTCTCTCTCTCTTCCAGAGTCTCCAATATCCAGCAGCAGCTGGCCCAGCTGGATAATGAGTCCTGGCCGGGACTGGCTGAGGCCGACAAGGACCGGCTCCAGCTCCTCAAAGAGAAGGAAGCCTTGCTTCAGGAGCTCCAGCTCATCCCTCAGCAGCGGAGGTCAGCAGAAGAAGTGACGCGGCTAGAGGAGGAGATCCAGCGAGCCCGCGCCACATCTGTGCAGGGCGCCACAGAAAGGTGGGCTGCTCCCGACAGCTCCAGGACAGGCAGGGACAAGGCTTCCGGGGGTGGGGTGGGGGGGTCACCTGGTTAAAAGAAAATTTGAAGCACTTCCAAGTGGCTCTAGAACCTTCTTGATTGTCATCAAAGCAACAACCGCCTGGGGTGTTTCCGTGCCAAGTGAAGGGGAGCCATGAAAGTAGAGAGGAACCACCTGCTCAGAAGTGATTGAGAAGGGGAAGGACAGCTTGCTTACCACTTACCTCAGGCCCCTTCCTGGTATTCCTGCTCTGTGGTTTTGCCCAGATAGCGCCCTCTAGAGGTGAGGTGTCATCGTACTCCCCCTAAGCACTGCCCGTAGAGGCCCAGCTCTAGAACAGGGTGGCTCTGCTGCCCATGGGAAGTCACCGTTCCCCACATCATCAGTGTTGCAAAGAGCCGCCCTGCTGCTTTGATTTCTGCCCTGCATTTCTGGCCAGGAAAGCAAGCACGTTTTTCCTTTGGCAGGAGGAAGCCTGCTGCTTCCGAACAGGCCGCCCCACGCTCAATCTTTGCACTCTTGTGCAGCGTGGGAAACGAGGGGCCAGCCCAGTATCTTTTGTCCTTTTCATCCAGTGCCATGGCTTCTGGCTCCCATTCCCGGGTGCGATCACTGACTTGGTGGCAGTGGGGTCTGCTTTGCACATTGAGGTGTTGTCAGACGTTTATCTGTGTGTGGCATTTGCTGAGCTTTGTAGAGTCCTTCCCACCCCCCACTGGCCCCAGCCTCATCTGATAATATACTGGCTCCTTGAAGTTCCGCTTCTTATCATGATTGTAAACTGTTATCTGGGGGAGGGGGGCAGTCGGTGGTTCAGTGGTAGAATTCTCACCTTCCACATGGGAGGCCCTGTGCCATCCCTGGCCATTGCTGCTCACACGTGGCTACCTCCTGTCTGTCGGCGGAGGCTTGCATGTTGAACAGGTTGCGACAGAACTTTCAGACCAAGATGAAATAGGAAGAAAGACATACGCTTAACTTCCCCAAACTAGTCACTGAAAATCCTATAAATCCCAGTGGCCAGACCGGGCATTGAGGTCACTGTGAGGTGAGAGCCCACTCCATAGAGAGAACAATAGCAAGCTGTGTCTAAGTGAATGTTGTGAAGGTTTCTGTAACATTGTAGCAATGTTTTGTACTTGCCCTCATCTTTGTTTCCTGAGCTGTGATAATAAAGTACCACTAACTAGATGGCTTGTAAGGACAGAAATGTATTCTTTCACTGCACTATTGGTCAGGAGTCCTAGATTTGGGGGAGGGGGTGTTACCATGTCAGTATCTTCTGAGGGTGCTAAAGAACCTGCTCCTTGTCCCCCACAGTGTTGCTAACATTTGTTCTGTTTGTTTGCTTGATTTCTCCTTTAGAAAAAAAAAACACCTTGCCATCTAAGTAAGAGCAAAATGGCATCTCATTGTGCTTTTGATATGCATGCTTCTGATGGCTAATGACACTGAGCCTCTTGTCATGTATTTGATGGACAGTTGAATGTCCTCTTGGATGAACCAAGGCTTTTGCCCATTTTGTGATCAAGTTATTTGTCTTTTGGTTGTTGTCAACATTTTATATGTTCACCTACATTCGGTATTAGCTTCTTATTGGATATATGGTTTTTGAAGATGCCAGTGAGCAATTTGTATGTTCCCTTTTTTGGTATAAAGTCTTTGGACAAACAGTAGTTTTTTTTTGTTTTTTTTTTTAAACTTTTGTGAGGTCCCATTTGTTTATTTAGTTTTTTACCGTTCATGATTTTGTTATTAACGTATGCTAGATAACCCATTGTTGAAAACTAGGCCCAACAGCAGGTATGGCCCTTGCTTGATCTCCTAAAAACTTTATGGTTTCCGTTGGTGCATTTAGGTCCTTAATTCATTTTCTAATTTGTTTTTGTGTGTGGTGTGAACCATGGGACCCAGTTTCACTTTCCCCACATGTGGGCATCCAGTTTTCCTTGCACTATTTTTTGAAGAGACTTCTCTTTCCCATCATATCGACTTAGAACCCTTGTCAACAATCGTAGGTGTGTGGGTTTATTTAGGAACTTATGTTTCTTTTCCACTGATCTATGTGTATATTGCCATACCAGTACCAGGCTGTTTGGACCACTATCACTATTGTATAGTATGTTTTAAATCAAGAAGTGTGAGTTTCAGTTGTGTTAATTTTGGAGTTGAAAATTCATGCGAAAGTGTTAAGGGAAATACCACCAGCCTTGTTCTGGGCCTGCATAGATTCCGGCCTACCGGTTGCTGTTTGCTGTGGGATGTGCTTTGCCGAGGTCATTGCAGCCCTGGAATTCTTGGAGAAGTAAGAGGTTTCCTGTCGTTGGGAAGGTGTAGCATTGAGAATAAGAAATTTGCAGTCAAATTTCTTGTTATGAAAGTATACCCACTCTCTTTGAAATGCAAAGGTGCCCTGGTGATGCCTTGGGGCAAGCGCTTGGCTGCTCACCCAAAGGTGGGTGGTTCTAAAATACCAGCTACTCTGCATGAGGACAATTTGACAGCCTGCTTCCATACAGATTAAAACCCCAAACCAAACTCACGACGATCATGTCACCGCCAGGCCATAGTAACCCTACAGCCCAGAGTAGAACTGAGCTAAAGATGACCGCATCATCCTCGAGCAGAGTGGCTGGTGGACTGGAACCGCCAACATCTCAGGTTCGGTCCTTAACCCACTGTCCTTCCAGGGCTCCTTAGAAACCTATTGGGGCAGTTCGACTCTGTCCTACAGGGTCAACATTAGGATTTTTTTTTTTTGCTTTGTTTTATTTGAAATCCACCAACTGGCTATTTTCTTATCTGTAGGATTATACTTCAGGAGAAAAAAAATTCTCTACTTAAGCAGCTAGAAGAAGCTACCCGCTTAAAGTCCTATCTCCAGTCCCAGCTGAAAAGGTTGGTTACTTTACAAGAAAAACACCCGCTGCTGCAATATTGTGTTCTAATGGCGCTGCCACGAACTTTGTGATTCCCTTTCACTTGGATTTCTCCCGTGGTCATTTGGAACTTGAGGTGGTATAAATGCAGAATGAAAGAATGGACAGAGGGAGTATTTTATTAAAATATGATTTGATAGCTGAAGAGAATTGAACTCAGAGCAACCAGTCTGAAGTCACATTTATCTGAGGATTTTTACCATCTATCCACAGCTTTTGAAAGGTCTAGCTCTACATATATGCACACATGCATTTCTTTTCAATGGTTTTAGATTGGCGAGGTTGGGGTGCACAGTCATTGCTGGTGTCTTCAATACTTACCGTCTTGTGAAGTAGTGATTCTAGGGCTTTGTATGTCGTCTTCCCAGTCCTCCTACCTGATGGTCGGAACAGGTATTACCCCAGCCCTGGTGATAAAATGGGAGGTTCAGAGAGGTCCACTAATTTGACCTACTGTACTCAGCTGGTCGGTGTTTGAGGCAGGACTTGAACCTAGACACTTATGCCCCAGAGCCCTGGATTTGAACCCCTGTGCCTCATTGACATTAAAAATAAACAAGGGAGGTATTAATGAAAATCATGGGCATGAGCACTGAGGGTTTCAAATTCCTCGTTAATGGCAGCATGAGGCCAGCGTTTCTTCCCTCATGGAGCAGATGACATGTTCTTGACACTGGTCTCAGAGCTGGAACGCTCAGAGTGTGGCCTGTCTCGTTTCAGCCTGTCTGCCAGCACCCTGACGGTCTCCTCGGGGAGCAGCCGGGGCTCGCTGGCCTCCAGCCGGGGCTCACTGGCTTCCAGCCGGGGCTCCTTGAGCTCCATCAGCTTCACCGACATCTATGGCCTGCCGCAGTACGAGAAGACTGATGTCGATGGCAGCCAGCTTTTGCGCTTCGACCTAATTCCCTTCGACTCCCTGGGGAGAGATCCCCCCTGCTCTGATTGCCCCGCCCCCACCAGCTTTAGCAAGCAGAGGCGGTCCCTGGACACTCCCCAGTCCCTGGCTTCTCTGTCTTCCCGCTCCTCCCTGTCCTCCCTGTCTCCCCCCAGCTCACCTCTGGACACGCCCTTCCACCCTACCTCGAGGGACTCTCCTTTGGCCCAGGTGGCCGATGGCTTTGAGGTGCCAGGTCTGGGAGCGCTAGACAGAATGAGGACCCAGGCCGCTGCTGTGGGGGATGAAGAGCCGCAGGGAACAGCAGCCCTTCAGCCACATCTGTTCCCCAGCGATGGGGAAGGATTGCGAGACCGAGGACCCCAACAAGCTGGGACTCCTGCGGGTGGAAGTAAGTATCACTAAGGTTTGTAGGTTTTCTCAGCCTTTGGAAGGAAGGTTTAACATTCAGGGAAGAAAGCACGTTTGATTACATGGAGACCGTCTGGTGTTTCCCTGGCCTCCCGAGCTTTAAATTTAGGAAGCTCGATCCGATTAGGAAGGGAACAAACCTGGGCCCATCTGCATCATTTCCTGGTGGCTTTTCCCATGTCTGGAAAGATCCTGTCCATTCCCAGGCAGTCATTCCCACATATTTGGCCTGTTGTAAGAAAATAATTTAATTGTTGGAGATAACCTAAGAACCACGTAGTAGTTCCCATTCAGAGGATGAGAGCGATGGCAGAGGGCCTGATGAGTTCTGCAGGGGGGCCAGGGAGGAATGTCCTGCATTGCCCGCTGAAGACCAGCACACAGACTGGAGTCCAGTTGGTGCCAAGCAGAAATCTCAATGTCTTTTTCAACTGGGAACAATGTTGCTGCCCCTACCAAGGACATTCGACAATGACTGGAGATACTTTGGGTTGTCACAACTGGGTACAGGGAGAGTGCTCCTGGCTTCTCGGGGGCAGAGGCCACAGATGCTGATCGACACACTCCATTGTGCAGGACAGCCCCTTCCAATGAAAGTCCCGCGTATCAGCACCAAGATTGAAAAAAAAACCAACCCTGGTGACCTACTGTAGAGTTGCTTAACACCTTTACTCAAAAGAAAACTACCAAACCACTGTAGTTAGGGTCGTGGAAACCACTTTGGATGAGCAGTTGGGAGCCCTGGGCTCCGGCTTCATTCCCTGCCCTCTCCACTGGCCAGCTGTCTGAACTTGAGCCACAAGCATCCTTTCCACTCCTCTGAGTTTGGGCTTCCCGATCTTTGAACAAGGTGGTCTTTCTGGTCCCTTGTGTGGCTCACCATTCTGCTGCCCCCATGGGTTCCATAGAATAGATGCAAGGAGTCTCTGGTAACACATGGCTATTGACCCCGAGACACGTCCCGTTCTGTGGCCGCACCAGCCCTTTCTGGCACTGTGACTCCGCACCATCTTCTCTGTGTTTGCAAACCCCCCCTGCCTGTGCTCCTAGGTTCTGCTTCACAGGCACAGGTGCTCTGCTCCTTGTCTCTGCCTTTCATTGAAAGCAGGAGGTAACACACTAAGGGCGGGATGGCACATCCTTCAACACTTACGTTTATTTCCTGCCTAGCCTGCCCACCCCCAGGCCAACTTTTCTTTAAAGAGGATCCATCTGGCCATGAGAGGATTGAGGCCAGGCGAAAGCCAAGGTGGGAGGGAAACTAAGTAGCTTTATTTCTGATGCTCATTTCTTGACCACCTCTTCCCACCCTGGCAGATTTCAAAAATCAGAACCCAAATCCGCTGCCATCAAGTCCATGCTGACTCATAGGGACCCTCGATGGCAGCGTAGAATTGTCCCTGCGGGATCTGAGACTGTAACTCTTTATGGGAGTAGGAAGCTGCATCTTTCTCCCATGGAGCAGTTAGTGGTTTTGAATTGCTAACTTTGCGGTCATGCCCAGTGCATACCCACCATAGCACCAGAACTCCTCTCGGTAGACCCCCCCAAACCAACCCAAACCAAACCAAACTCACTGCCATCCAGTTGATGCTGACTCATAGTAACCCTACCATGCCACCAGGGCTCCCTTGACAGACGCCCCCCCCCCTCCCTCCTTAGGTTAAATGGCTTAGGCTCCAAGCTTAGGCTCCATTTTGATACTGCCACCTGGTGGTCAACTCTTATGTGCCATTGTTAGTCTTATCCTTTTTTCAAACTTTCTGAGATCGACTAACAATGGCACATAAGAGTTTACCACCAGGGGTCGGTTGGTTAACATGCATCAGGTGACATCTTGCCTCCCTTGGTACTTGCAGGAACACAGAGCCCAAAGTTATTGTAGCTTTGTAAGGGTCGTAGAACTCATCATGTTACCCCTTCCCTCTGGTGATGTTGTCAGGTAAATTCTGAACTGTGACTTGCAAGGTCAGCAGTTCAAACCCACCAGCTGCTCCTCATGAAGAAGATGAGGCTTTGTGTTCCCATAAAGATTGATAGCCCTGGAACCCTTATATAGAGTTGCTATGAGTCAGACTCAACTCAATGGCAATGGGTTGGGTATGGTGGTTAAAGTCATATACCGTATACACTCGAATATAAGCCAAGTTCTTCAGCAAATTTTAATGCAGTTTAGGTGCCTCTACGGGTATTCGGGTTCTCTTATACTCGAGTATATACGGTAGCTCCGTCCAACTTCCCATTCACAGTCTTGCCAGTATCAAAACTGCCCATGTGTAACCCTAAGCAAGTTTCTGACATACTTTAACCAATTGGCACCGAGTCAACCCCAACACATGGCTGCCCATAAGTGTCTGGGTCGAATTGTGTTCCATAGGGTTTTCAGTGGCTGGTTATCCAAAAGTAGATCACCGGGCCTTTCTTAGGCACACCTGGATAGACTCAAACCTCCAACCCTTTGGTGAGCAGTCTAGCACGTTAGCATTTCCACCCCCCTGGGAAGTTTATCCCATCTTAGTAAGAGAACATTCCAACATTGTCCAGACGTCCAAGGCCAGCACACTGAGTGATTTCTTCCATCATGCTGTTGGTCAATGTGTTGGGAGAGAGGGCGGGTCGAGTGGGAAAAGCCACTGTGTCATTGACGTGTTCACGGTGTTAGTACACTTCTGTCTTCCCTGGGCTATAAAAGTCAAATGTGTCATGACTTTGAAATACTTTTTTTGCCCCATCAGTCCACTAGTATTTGCTAATATAAACCTGTAAAAACCTTGACTTCGATGGTCTGTTCGTTGGCATTTTTATTACAAGCATTCTCGGCTTAAAATTATTGGCATACATTGTACAGTGTTTTTCACTTTCTTTTCTTCTTTTTAAATCTTGCTTCTCACGCAGCGTGGCAGAAATATTCGCTGTAAGTGACCTTGGAGTTCCTGTTCACCGTGCTGGTTAGGCTGTGAATGTATCTTGGTGGAGTGGATACATTTCTTTCTTATTCCCAGGGTGCGACCCAGGAGAGCATCTTATGTAGCTCAGTTGTACTCTAGTTTATCAGCTACTATCTTTATTGTTGCAGTTATTGTTCTTTCTACATTAACATTCACAATGACTACATTCATTGTAGAGAAACTTTCCTTAAAGTGTCAACTCTCTATTTTCTGAATATGCCCCCCGCCTCCGCCCCGGATGTTAATGTTTTCTGTTATGCGAGCACACTGTCTGACAACTTTGTCCATGCTGTGATTTTCTGTTGTATTTTTGTCCCTTTTATTACGTGCTATTGATACTTGTAAGCATTCATGTTGGACTGTCTGTCTTTAATGATGGAACATGCACGCACTTGTTTGAAGGAGCATCTATTCCTTGCCTCCTTGATGTTGCTTGCTCCCCAAGCTGACCTAATGTGCTTTCTGTGGGTCCCATCTGCTCACCCTGAGCAGCAGCTGGCCATCATCTTGGGTTGGCTCCTGCTCCTAGGTGCACTGTGAGCTTGGCGACGAAGCCTGAGCCCGTGGAGGTTGAAGTCCTTGCTGTCCTCTCTCTCTTCCTTGGCTTGCATTGTGATGGTGAGGGAAAAGGGGCCTCCGAGCTCCACCCTCGGCTGCCTGGGAGCTGTCTCGGCTTGTGCCCCAGTGTCATTTGCTAAAACAAAACAAAGCAAAGCCAGCTGCTATTAAGTCCACTCTGACTTCTGGTACGGGGTATACAGTCTCTGTAGGGTTTTCAGTGACTAATGTTTTGGTGGATCATCAAGCTTTTCTTTCAGGGTGCCTCTGGGGGGCTTGAACCACCAACCTTTTGTTGAGCAGCCAAGCATGTTAACTGCCTCCCCCCCCCTCCCGAGACTTCGTCCAACCAGTACATTCTGTTTGAAATTCAAGGCAAGTAGTTTGGGTCTTTGCATAAGGCTGGGTTGAAGAAAGGAACTGGACTCAGGAGATCTGACCTATAACTGGAGCTCTGGGCTGTCTAGAAGGGCACAACTTCTTATTCCTGGCTGACCAGGTGAAGGGACACGGTCACCGTAGGGTTTTGCATTGCACAAGGTTAGCATTTTCTCTCTAAGTGAAACTAGGAGACCAAGTGTCCCAGCCCCGTCCTACTGTCTGGTGCAGTATTTAACACGTTGCTTATGTTTCATTGGTGTGAATAAATAGTCTGGTTGAAAAGAGGGTTGGTTGTAGCTTTGGTCATTTCCCTCAATCAAGGGGTCACCCATGCCAAGGTTTTCTGATTAGAGAGCTTGAACCGCCAAAGACATGTATAGATGTATCAAGGGGGGCGGGGGGCATGTGTTATGACCAGGGGCCATCAGGACCACATTTCTAAGCAGATTATTTCGATTCTTTTTTTTTTTTCATGAAAACACACCACATTCTAAAATGGTCGAGACTCCTGTGTACATAATCATGCTCAGTCTAGGGAGATGAGATGAGATGTGTGGTTCTTTGGTCTTTCTTTTGTTCAATGGAGTTGGCTCTGATTAGTGAGGGGTAAGAAAACATCCTAAAGAGAAGAATGTCAGCACTTGTCCTTGGCTCTTGATTAAAGTAGATCTGAAACTTACACTCAGCTGCCTAGTAATAGTAGCATTGCCACGCCAAGGAAGCAGTTCTGGAGGAGAGGCTGACCCCAGGGCTCCTGGGAGGAATATTGCCATCTGAAGCCTCCCTAGCTCCTCCCCTGAGGAAATACCTTCTGACTCTTGATTGAAATGGGTGGTCTGGTGACCTAACGGTTACTCAATTTTGTTAGGACTTATTTGTAACATTAAACATTTTCTTTCCTTATTATAAAAAACAAGGTGTATTTATGGTCTAAAATATGAGGAAATGCCAAACAGCATAAAGAAAATAATTCAAGATAATCTCACACACACGTAGAAACGTTGACCATTTGAAATTATTTGCCATTAACCATTTGGGGACATCTTGCTTGGTCTTTTGGTTCTGCCAGTCTGTCTTAAAGTGCCTTGTGAAGACCTCTCTGCCAGCATTGTATGTGTGTGTGTGTGTGTGTGTGTGTGTGCTCATTAAGGAGGTGAAACGATATTTATGATCCCAAGTGCCTTTCTAAAGAATTCAAAGAAATAGGCATGTCTTTAGTTTTTCCATGTGGAAAAAAAAAATATTGGGCACAGTTGTATGTGTTTAGGATTATGTTCATTGCAATCATGCAACCCTTGGTAACCTGTGTGTGTCTTCCTTATAGCAGTGACTCTTCGAGAAGACAGTGCCAGGAGGTTGGAGAGGAGAGCTCGCCGTGTCTCTGCCTGCCAGTCAGACTACTCACTAGCCAGTGACAGTGGAGTATTTGAACCTTTAACCAAAAGGTCAGAAACTGAGCTTACAGGTTGCCTCACCCTGACCAGCTTTGAGACAATGTTACTGTTAAATATTGAACCCAAAGGACACATACTGAGACATGTACATATTTAATCTTTGCTTTTCTGGGAGCAGAATTACTTTGCAAGCTGTTTCAACTGTGGTATATGGGGCTTTAGAAACTGGAATAGTAACTGCTGTTGGAGTTTCTGGGTCAGCTTTGGAGTGGTAGGAAGATTTCTCTTTTTCCAGTCCTGGACAATAAAGCTGGACAAGGAGACTCCTTAGGCTTGCTTAGTTTCAGGGGTGGGGGCAGTGTGTCAACCAAGCCTGTGATCACCATTGCATTCATTCCAACTCAGAGGGACCCTCTAGGACCAAGTAGCACTGTCCCATAGGGGTTTCCGGGATGTCAAGCTTGATGGAAGCAAACTGCCACGTCTTTCTCCCGCAGCACAGCTGGTGGGCTCAAACTGCTGACCTGTGCTTCGCAGTTGAGGGCTTGCCACTTGTGTCACCAGGGCCCCTTTTATTAGAAGAGACATCCATTAGAAAGGAGTCTCCTCCCTCCCTTCCATAGCTATAAGACTCACTTTGCAATGACAAGACAGCTTTGGGAGCTTGGGACTTGGCTTGGCTTTGGGGGGATATTGGTTGGTTGTTTGGACATTAGTGAATCTCGGTTATCGCTATGCTATGACAAGCATTTTCAAAGTGGTTTGGAACTTTACCCTGAATAACACATGTGATTTTGAAAGGAATGCAATGTTACTTTCTAAAAAAAGAAAAAGGAAACAGTGTGCCAGCAGGTTACCCAATGAGCTCTGTCATGGGTCCTGGGTCCAGGCACCTGTTGTGCCCTTTCAGACAAGTAGGGAGTTGACTGCTCTGGAAGGTTAGTAAGGCCCTTCTAAGTAAGATCAGGATACTCCTAGCAGGAGGCTTGGAATAACCCCGGGTGCATTCCCAATTGTGTGTAGGAGTGAAGAGGCCGAGGAATCTGCGTCCAGCGAGGCCGGCCATGGTGAAGAGCCCCAGATCCGTGTAGGATTTGTGTGAGTACAAAAGGCTCTGTGCCTGCTGGTCTCGAAGGCTTTGATCAGACACCATTGGGGTGCTCCCTTGCCAGCGAGTCCCTCCTCCACCCACAGGCCCTACCTGTGTGCTACCCCTAGCCTTGATACCCCCGGGACTACTGTACCTTGTTTTTAGTGAAGGGGAGAGGTGAGGAGTAATGGTTGACTCCTAGCTGGCCCAGGGTGGCAAGGGTTGGGGAACACTAATACTGTGGGTACAGAAAGTCTCCAGAGAAGTCTGATTCTCTGGGGACAACAATCACACATTTCAGCCAGGACGCGATTCCATTCACAGCAACACAGATAGCAAGGCCCTTCTCCACATCCCCAGAGGAGGCCATCAGGTGATTTTGCAATAGGACACTTTTGGGTTTCTGATTGCAGTCTCAGCAAAGGCCCTGACCCATGATGGCCACGTTGATGTTAGCAAGGCCAACAGGTTGTCTTTGCTCCCGTTTCATAAATTCAGCCCAGGGTTGATACCATTCGACCCTCTTGGCAGTTGGGGTTGGATCGTTCTTTGTGGTGGGGACCATCCTGTGCCCTGTGATGTGTGGAGCAATATCCCTAGTCTCCTCCCCACTGGTCCTTCTCTGTGCTTTGGGGGCCAACCTATTGCCTTGTAGGGTGTAGAGCAGCATCCCTGGCTTCTCCACCTCATCCATCCTTCCTCCTCGGTTTTGGCATGTAGAAAATATCTAGACATTGCCTGGAGTCTCCGCAAAGTCCGTGTCTCCTCCTCTGGAGAGCTCCTGCTCCAGGTCATTCCTCTCTCTTCACCACAGAGGCTCTGCAGTTGGTGAACTCGTGTCTTCTTTTCTAGGCATGATAGCAACAGTGAGTGTCTCCTCGTGAATGTGCTCCAACTGAAGAACTTTTCTGGATTGGGTGTGAAAGAAAACTGCAAAATGTAAGCCTGCACTGCCCACCCCCACAAAGGCAGGGACTTGTTCATTAGAGGAGGAACATGTGCATAGCGGATGAGGCGCTCTTTAGACAACCTAGCCCAATGACCTAGTCTGCTTGTCAGTTTTGTAAGTAACAGAGAGTTTGGGGACGTGAGTTTACCATAAAACATCAGGCAAAGTTCATTTGCAATGACAAGAATTGTAAACGTTATGAAGAGTCTAGTATATTCTTTTGGGCAGAACCAGGCTAGCTCTGTGCTGCAGGACAAGATGCTAAGGAATGCCCCATCAGCAGCATTTAGGATTCACATGCCCTTCCTGCTCCCAGGGCTGAGTTGGTGCTAATGCCACCATATGCTGTATCTGAATGTGGGCGATAAGTGTTAAAGGCCTCTGGCTAACTCAACAGCAGAAAGGCAAACAGCTCAGTCAAAAAGTGGGCAAAGGACCTGAATAGACATTTCACCAGAAAAGATACACAAATGGCCAAGAAGCACATGAAAAGTTGTCCAGGATCTGTTAGTCATTAGGAAAAGGCAAATCGAAACCACAACGAACTACTACTTCCCAACATATGATTGCTGTGATCAGAAAACCAGAAAATAATGAGTGCTAGTGAGGATTGGACCCTTCATCCTTTCCTAATGGGAATGGAAAATGGTACATTCGCTCCAGAGGTTAAATGGAGAATTTCCATATGACCCAAGCGATTCCTCCCCTCAGTATAGACCCAAAAGTCTTGAAAGTAAGTATTCACACACATGTACACCAGTGCTCATTGTCACATAAGTCACACTAGCCAAGAGGTGGAAAGAGCCCAAGTGTCCAGCAACAGAGGAATGGATAAATAAAATGTGGCTATCCATTCGATGAACTCTTAGCCACAAAGAGAAATGAACTGCTGACAAATCTTATGATATAGGTGAACGTCTAAAAGCAAAATGAGTCTGGCATAAAGGTCACTGATTATTTGAACCCACTTATATGAAATCTCTAGGGAAATGCATATTTTCTTCCCCACACTAAAGGCCCCTTGCTGTAATTAGGGTGTCCTTGAGTAGGGGACAGGAGCCCTGGACAGGAGCGCTGGAAGGGAAGCATGGGCCTGCTAACCGCAAAGCTGGTGATTCAAACCCATCAGCCACTTCATGGGAGAAAGAGCAGGCTCATCTGCTCCTGTAAGCAGCCTCAGAAACACTATATAGGACCACTGAGTCCAAGTGGGCTCAATGGCAGTGAATTGGTGGGGGTGGGGGGGCTTGTCTAGGGAGGGAGGATGAGCTACTCATATGACTAGTTAACACACCTGGTTGATGACTTCGGCATTGTGGTTGTAGTGATCTGCATGGGGGCCTGAAGGAGAGGTTGCTTATCCCAGGGAGTGACCATCTCTGTAATGGTCAGTTGAAGTCCAAGAGTGGACTTCCTCTTCCAAGAGTGGTCTTCTGAAGACCTTGGCAGCAACCTGGTTTTAAGTGGCTAAGGTTTTGCCCTGGAGTTTGGCTCACTCTAACGGTGTCCTGTCCCTCTCTTCATGATGGCTTGAGCTCTTTCTGTGAGGATGGAAACAGCGGGCCCTAGCAGACAGCTGGTGAGGGAGAACTGAACTCACCTCACACGTGTGCAGAGCTGGAAGAGAGTCCATGGAAAGATCAGAACAGATGTTTCCCACGAAGACAGTGAAACAGCAGAGCCTCCATTCGAATCTGGCAAAAGCTCTGGCATTTACATGGTCTTTCTTCTAGTGACTGATCCGCTCCCCCATCCCCAGTATCATACCCAAGTCTTTGGACCTTTACTTTGTTGAGCAAGGGGCTTTTCCCAAAGGCTCTGAAATTCGTTATGTGTGCATCCAAGATGGGGAAATGAAAAGTGCATGCATGTGTGTGTGGCTCATGCTATGCATTTGTTTTCCGGTCAGATCTGTCAAGAAGTGTTAGCTACTGTCTTCTTCCTTTCGTTCCAGACACATCCGTGTCTACTTGCCGCCGCTCGACTCCAGCACGCCCAACACCTACTGCTCCAAGGCTCTTGAGTTTCAGGCCCTGTTGGTATTTAATGAAGTCTTCAGAATCCCTGTGCATTCAAGCTTATCGACGTTGAAGTCTCTTCAATTATATGTGTGCTCTGTGAATCATCAACTGCAGGAAGAGCTACTGGTATGGCTCTCTCTTCTTTGTCTTTGGGCTAGTCTGTCTTGTCTTTCTAGTTCTCTCTCTTTCTGCCTTTGTATCTTTGTCTTTCCATGTTCCGGTGTCCATTTCCATCCTTCCCTCCCTCCCTCTTCCATTTTTTTCAGCTTTCTCATCTCTCTCTTCTTTCCCTCTCCCTCCCTTATCTCTTCCTTCCTTCCATTTCCCCCCCCCCCTGCTGCTTAGAAATTACAATAGTGGTAAGTGATCTCTCTAACTGGGAGTATAGAAAAGGATTGTACCATTTATCTAGACCAGAGTTTTGTCCTTTAACTATGTTATCTCAGTTGATTCTGCAACCCTCCCCCAATGAGGCACTACCAATTTTATTTGAAATGGATTAATTTTCAGTTGAGGGAACTTTGCTAGAGTTAGCGAACAGGAAAATTCAGCACCCAGCTAAAATGGAATTTCAAATAAGCTGTATATATTAATTAGTTGAAGTATATGTCATACAATATTTTGGACATATTTACCCCCCCCCCCCAAAAGTTGAACAATGCATTATTCAGATCGAACTCGATGCCTTGTATGTGGGGACTTCAAAATGTGTGGAAAGATGAAATTAGAAGATGAGGCATTTTCCTCATGAACTTTTTGAAGACCCTCTGGCAAGTCTAGAACTTGGGACACGCAGGATTTCGGCAGTTTGTCCTCAGGCCCACCGAGTTATTTGATGCCCAGGTCAGGATTCAGAAGTCAGTGAGGTTTCTTTCCCAAATCAGAATGCCACTCCCTTGGTCATGTTACCTCCGGAGCAAAATCAGGACATGCAGAGCAGAGATCAGCTGGTGTCAAACAGCCTGGTGGCTCACCCAGCCCCCCAGCTTCTCCATACTTGGTTTCCTTTCCAGCTGGGAGGTCTGCCTGATCGAGCCACCCATGAGGTTCTACCTTAGTCATGTTCATTTTACTGTCCCACTGGAAAGGAAGTGTGTGTTGTTAGTCTTTCTCAAGACTAGAAGGTGAACTTGGTATGTTAAATGACTTCACTGTTGAGATGAAAGCATTCAGTGCCACTTCCTTCACCATCTCTATAGGGTATCGCACAGATTAACCTGGCCAACTATGAGAGTTCTGGCGATATGCAGCTACGCTGGTATCCCGTCCAGGTCTTCACCAGCACTGGGCCCCAGAGGCCCCGGGAGAACGAGCGGGCAGAAGCGCCCAGAGCACGGGAGCCCACGCACTCCAACGTCGTGAAGACGGTACGTATTGCTTTGCTTTCAGGAGCGTGTCCCGGCTACCCTCCTGGCTTTTAAAAATAACACAGACCAGTATTGGGGGAGGTGGTTTCCAAGAAGTATCTATTTAGATAGTCTCCCGATAGAGAAGAAGAGGTAGAGTTTCCAGGAAAGTAAAAAACATGGAACATACACACGCTTTTTATTCTTTGCAAGTTCTATATTTGCCAATTTGCCCACTCGCTAACATGTATTTGTAGCCTCCAAATCCATGCCAGCAGCCCTTTTGCCATCATTTGGAAACTGTGCCACAAAGGGGCAAGCAGCTTGACTGGCCTGCTGTGCACGTTCCCAGCTGAGGTGGCAAAGGTGATAGATACCTCATCATCTTGTTTCAACTCCCACATGGCACTGCCAACAAGTGCCCCTGAATGGATCACGGTCATTTGATGCTAGGTGTCTGTGTGTGTGCACGCACACGCATTTATGTACCTTTAATTGGCAATTTCTCCTTTTTAAATACCCTTTAAGGTCAGTGGGGAAGCGCTGCCTAGGGTTCCTCAGTGCAGAAAGGCCGTGATGGGCCTCGTGGAGACCGTAACTGTGTTAGATGAACTTCTTTCAGGCTTGAATTACAATGTCATTGGCCCTGAATTCAGGATTAATAGAATGGCAATATACTGAGATTCTAAAGAATACTCAGTCCTGTCGAGGAGAGTCTGCCTCACAGCCACTGTGTCTAGAGTGGCAGGACTGCAAATCTTTCCTGGCATAGACAGCCTCATCTTTCTCCTGCAGAGCAACTAGCTTCAGCCACCGTCTTTCTGTTAACAGCCCAACAGTGCCGCCATAGATGCCTTTACACAGAAACTTATATCAAGCAAAAGTAGCTATTGACTGGTAGACTAAGATATTAAGTCCAAAGATTGGCAGGACTCTCTCTAACTGGCATAGCTCCCCTAGAAACAAGAACCCAATATTCATTAATTCCATGTTTGTGGTGGCTTTCTAGAACATACAATGAATAACGAGGCTCAACTCTGGGAACACATATGATTACTTTTCCAATCATTTCTTCCACTGTTGAAAATATACATACCAGAATACATACCAATCCAACACTGTTTAATATGTTTAATTCAGTAGCACTGATGACATGCTTCATCATGGGAATTTTTAATGCCGTATTTCTAACGTTCCTGATCCCAAGTGACTTATGGTAGGTAATTTTCAAATGGAAGTCCTCACAGCTTCCAGAAAAGACCAAACGGGCACCACACTGTTGACAGGGGAGGTGAGTTTCTGCGTCGAGGTGGGATGAACAGCTTACTGGGTGACAAAGGCTCTCGAAGGTGGGTCTTCACGGAGTGCCCTGTCTTTGCAGGATGCTGTCACCGTGCTACTGGCGAGAACCACGGCCCAGCTGCAGGCCGTGGAGAGGGAGCTGGAGGAGGAGCGGGTGAAGCTGGAATGCACCAAGGAGGAGATCCTCCAGGTGGAGCAGCGGGAAGGCCAAGTGGAAGCCATGCCCGACAGGTAGGAGCCAGTGGGGTCTCCTCGCCGCCAGCCTTCATCCTCCTCCAGGAAAAGGAGGATGTTCACCTTCAGGGGACAGACTTCTCTGAAGAGAGGCCCGTGGAAATGCGTCTCAGGGAAGGGCCACCGGGGTTCATGGGGATGAGGTGGCCATCATGTTAGAGGTGGCTCCACCCCAGGAGCTGTGCCTTTGCAGGGGAAATTCCATCTCTTGTCCAGGCCAATGGCGAAAAGGGCCAGGCAATTCTTCAGTGCCCTTGTCCTCTCGGGGAAGGGGACAGGGAAGGCGAGGCTGCTCTGGATGAGGGCAGGGCTACCAACTCTCCCCCCAACTCTCCCTCTCTGCATTCCGCCTTGTCCTTCTTTCCCAGCATTGCTCGGCACCTGGGAGGACGGAGGTACACTCTCTTCTGCCAAGACTGAGAAGAACAGGGCTCCATGATGTTCTTTTGCTTTTAAACAGCTTGCTCGCACACGGTCCAACTCCCCCATTTAAAGTAAACAGTTTCAGTGTGTTCAGAGTTGAGCAACCATCACCACCGTCCATTTGAGAACATTTGCGTCACCCCAGAAAGAAACCCTGTGCCCCCACTAGCTGTCACTTCTAGGCCACCACTGATCTACACTGTGTCCATGGAGTTGCTGTTTTATAGCAGTGAAACCATGTGTGGCCCCAGGAAGTGTTCCCAGAGCAAGCTTGTGTGGAATAGGTGGAGGATCCAGATGAACAAGCACTTCTACTGAACTGCTTTCCATCTCTCACCATGGGCACTTGATACTGCTTGACTTAGACCAGCGGTTCTCAACCTGTGGGTCATGACCCCTTTGGGGATTGAACGACCCTTTCACAGGGGTCACCTGATTCATCACAGTAGCAAAATGACAGTGATGAAGTAGCAACAATTTTTTTTTCTCTCAGCAACGAAAATAATTTTATGGTTGGGGAGTCACTACAACATGAGGAACTGTATTAAAGGGTTGCAGCACTAGAAAGTTTGATTTAGACATTTCTCCACAGAAGCCCCTATTTCCAAAGTTGCCTACTTTTTCCTAGTATCTTCTCCTGAATTTGGTTCTGAGGACTTTGTTTTGAGGAGAAGCAGGAAGGGTACAAGGAGGGAGATAACCAGAAGCTGGGGGAGCTCTGGGGGAGGGCCAAGGTTCCAGGAGTCTGGTTTCTTCAGTGGCTGTAATTGGGTCACAGAGACAGACCAAGCCTCTTAGCGAGACACGCAGTATAGTTGTCTTCCGTAGAGGACCTGGAAACCCTTAGGCTTGAGAAAGCCATAGCTTCAATCATCAGAAGCAAGGGAGTTAGGCTTCTCTCAGAATGTCCTTCTGATGATCATTGTGAGTTGTGGTGTTTGGTTGTTTGTTTCAATGTCCCACCTTTAGGAGTTGGCAAGCTGACTCAGTCGATAGTGGATGCAGCAGCTGCACCCAGACTGGCCCTGTGTACCAAGAATCATGTGTGGGTGTCGAATCCATCCACGGACACCTCTTTGCTGGCCAGACAGACCCTTACCAACCTAAGCAACACCAGCCTCCACATCCTAAGGTAAATAGAATGCACCAAGGGAGTTGACCCAGACTCTTGCCATTTTATGGTGCAACACTTGGCAGTGCCCTGGAAGGAGATTGGGGTGGGGGGAAAGGAGGGTGTCCTCCAAACCTCCACCATGAGACATTGGACGATTACATAATGAGATGAACCCAAAGGAAAGGACAGCTGGTGAAAGAGAGTAGAACAGTGCAGCTTGCCTACAGACATGCCAGTGATGTGGTTTGGGATCAATTGGTATGATAAGGAACATGCTGCTGCATTAGGGCCTCATAGGTATGATTGTGTTTTATTGCATGTAGAGGAAAAGAAATGAATGGCCTAATATTTGTAAAGTGCTTCCAATCAGCATAGCAGACACTACAGACATGATTATTGCCGTGGAGACTAAGAATAAAACATTACTCCTTCACGGGCCATTTTGCATATTGTCAAGTTGGGTCCATTCTGATTCATGGGGACCCTATAGAATGAAGGAGAATTACCCCATAGGGCCTTCTAGGCTTTGAATCTCTACGGAGCAGCTTGCTTCCTTTTTCTCCTGCAGAGAAGGTGGGTGGGTTCAAACCACCGGCTTTTCTGTTAGCAGCTGGATGATAAGCGTTTTGCCACCGGGGCTCCTGCTCCTTTACCTCCGGTGCCCGGTTGTCAGTGCTTCCCCACACTGGCATTCATTCTTTCTGTGTGCATGTGCCAGCCGGAAGAGGCAACAATAAACAAAACCCACGGAAACTCCTGCCCTCAAGTTGGAAACAGAGACCAGCCAGGGACATTTGAATATGACAGAGGGCCTTGGGGCTTCAGTTTGTCTTTTTGGGTGGACACAATTCCATCCAGCCTAGTGACTAAGCTAATTGCATGGCTTGTGTTAATAAGAAAAGTCATAATAATAAATGAACTAATCTCCAGGTTGATAAAGAAACCAATACAGAAGATCTCTTCCCTGAAGAACTTGCCAGTCTTCCAAAAGAGAGGGCTGGCCACAGGCCCCGCGGGTCTCCTTTTGTGCGCAGCAGCACGATCGTCCGTTCACAGACCTTCTCGCCAGGAGCACGAAGCCAGTATGTTTGCAGAGTAAGTTGGACTTTTTTTGCTGCGTATCTGAAAAGCCCACCCCCCAACTACTTTTTGTGTTGAGAGATGTATGTGTTATCACCTGTAATGCCAATCCCTGACACCATACATAGGTGAATGTGAAATCGGAGGTGTGCTGTCATCCCCTCCTTTTCCTACATTCACAGGCTCTGATCATTGGTAGGTTGTAATACATTCCCACCCACCCCCAGGTTTTCAAGGTTGCAGATGTTCCAACTGATAGTCAAGAAGCAGAATGGATCATTTCCACATCAGACTAAGGAGTAACACGTCAACACAGGGCAGAGCTTGAATTGGGTTGAGATCTGCAAAGTCAGGTCACTCTGCATAACTAGAAGTTCTCAATTGAAGTTACAGCAGTGATTAGCCAGGGTAGCCTTGAGGATTTAAAACATGGCAGCAATGGGCTTTGAATTCACCCATCTGTCAGTTGTCATTCCTAAAGTGATAGTGGGAAATGCCTGGTCCTCGACCTGACTGAGGGTCGTAGCCTCAGGGGTCCCACCTGTCTCTCTAGCCAGTAAGCCTGGTCTTTATTATATATGACCCTCTTCAGTGCAATTGGCGGTGGTGGCTGGGCACCATCTAGTTCTTCTGGCCTCATGGTTTTGGAGGTTGATAAGTTTGTGTAGTCCATTGGGCTAATTGTTTCTATATGTCTTTCCAATTTTCATCACTCTTCTTTCCTCTGGACTGGGAAAAACCAATGGGTGCACCTTAGCTGCATCTACCTGGATATAAAATTCTGTCATTTTTAATATTTGGTTCTACTATAGCAAAAACATTTGAATAGTTGAAAATAAGTACAGTTTCTAAAACAAGTAAAACATAAAACAAACTTCACATTCTAATTTGGACATTAAAATTTATATTTGAGAATTTGTAAGTGAAAAAAATGTGTTTGTACCATGTATTTTGTTCTTTAGTAGTAAAAAGATAAAGTGCTTATACGGCAGTCGAAAATAATTTCACCCATTTGTTGCACTATGCTTGTTGGTGGGTCCTTCACAGATTTACATGAGGATCCCCCTCCCACCCCAACAAAATACTTTCAGACTTCACACTCACTTTCCTTTGCATCCTTGATACTGCATCTTCACAGTTCATTAAACTGCTCCTGAGACCCACCAAGGGTGAGAACCATTGCAGAGCTTATGATACAAATACAATTGGGCTTCAAAAAGTTCACAGCCACAATGGAATGAAAAGATAGTGGAAGGTTCCCATGTACTTTTTGAAGGCACGTTTTGGTTTGCTTTGGGCAAGCCACCCTCGATTCCTCGATTATATTGCTGCAGGCATGTACTTCATGCAGTCAACCAGAGAGAAGGGAGCGTGGGATGATAGCCTATCAATCTGACATGAAAAGGAAAATATAATTGTTAATTGTACATCACATTATAAAACGATAGCAATCAATTTCATGCCGTGCCCTGCCAGGTCCCTGCCACTGCAGCACTCACTTTTCCATGTGTCCTATCTGCTTGGCATCTGTGAGTCTGTACTTTGGAGAGCTAGTGTCCCTATTGGGTTAATGCCCTGAGCAAATGCTTACCTTTTTGGGTCATTCATCCCAGAGCACCCCATCACACTCCCCAAGCCATCCTGTAAGGAAGGAAGAGCAGTTGGCTTACTGACCTGCCGAGGAGCGGACTCAAATGTGCAGACTGAGAAAGACAGGGAGAAAATCCTTTGCTTTAGTCTTTGCTGTGGTATGTTCCAGACTGTAAACGAAAGTGTGGGTTCCCCGGCAATGCCTATTGTTTCTCTGTATGTTTATAGCAGTCACAGGTTATTTAGCCAGCCGTGCCACTGCATTTCCTGAGTACTTGGGAGTCATTGACGCGAATCGCAAGGAAATGAGGGCAAGGACTGTTGCTTCAGCACAGGTGCACAGTCATCCTGAAGCGAGAACTCCCCCGCGCCACCAAATGAGATGCGAACGTCATGGCTCCTGTCAAGAGAGCATTATTTCCTTTTCTTTTCCACTCATGGCAGTGAGTCTGTTCTCTGGGAGGCCATATCTGTTCCAACTCTTGCCAAAGCCAGAAACACCACAAATGAGAGAGATGGGTAAGATGGGAAGCGTGCCGAGGACAGAGCAGGTTGTCACACGCGTCCTCCATGATAGGAAATCACAGTTGGCATCTCTAGGACCAAAATGCTGTTACTGATATTAATCTGATGGATAAGAAGCAGGGGTGGGGTGGGGGTGGGGTGGGGGGCGTTCTTGTCTGCCTCTTGTTTTCGTTGGAAATCTTGTGTCGATTATACTCGTATTTGAAATGAAACGCATAGACTTGTTAAAAGCGCCCAAAGTCATCAGTGAATTTAGGGACCTTTGAAACAAAATGATCCAACTCAGAGGATATGGCTCGATGAACGTTGAGTTTCTGAACTTCATTCGATTTTCCATGCAGCTTTATCGTAGTGACAGCGACAGTTCAACACTGCCACGGAAATCACCCTTCGTCCGAAACACTCTGGAAAGACGAACCCTCCGCTATAAGCAGGTGTGTATCACATAAACTCATAAGGGGTTTTGTATTTTCTTGGGAGTATTTTTATGAACCATGACAAGTAGTATTTTAGGTAACATTTAACACAATATTAATTGGAAGGGTAGTATAGTTATTTTCCTGTAATTTGAAAAGCATATATAATGCCAAATTTGCCAATTATTTCTTAATTTCTGAAGACAGTATTCTGACCCAAGATAATTTGTGGTCTTTATATGTTTAAGTGTAGTAAATTCCTAGAGACAAGCATTTCTTTTCTTTTTTAACATTTTATTAGGGGCTCATACAACTGTTATCGCAATCCATACACACATCAATTGTGTAAAGCGCATTTGTACATCGTTTCTCAAAACATTTTCTCTCCATTTAAACCCCCGACATTAGGTCCTCATTTTTCCCCTCACTCCCCGCTCCCCCCTCCCTCATGAGCCCTTGATAGTTTATAAATGGGTATTTTGTCATATCTTGCCCTGTCCGACGTCTCCCTTCATCCACTTTTCGGTTGTCTGTCCCCCAGGGAGGAGGTCACACACAGTTCCATGTAATCGGTTCCCTCTTTCCTACCCATTCTCCCTTTACCCTCCCTGTTTTGCCACTCACACCACTGGTCCTATAGGGCTCATCCGTCCTGGATTCCCTGTATTTTCAGTTCCTATCTGTACCAGTGTACCTCCTCTGGTCTAGCCAGTCTTGCAAGATAGAATTCGAGTCATGGTAGTGGGAGCGGGGAGGAAACCTTTAGGAACTAGAGGAAAGTTGTGTTTCTCATCATTGTTACATCGCACCCTGACTGGCTCATCTCCTCCCCGAGATCCCTCTGCAAGGGGATCTCCAGTGGCCTACTAATGGGCTTTGGATCTCCACTCCGCACTCCCCCCATCATTCACTATGGTAAGATTTTTTGTTCTGATGATGCCTTACACCTGATCCCTTCGACACCTCGTGGTTGCATAGGCTGGTGTGCTTCTTCCATGTGGGCTTTGTTGGAGACAAGCATTTCTATATAGCAGAATACCTTTTGTTTTTGGCAATGTCTATACCCGGGGGCTTAAAAAATTGTGTGAAAATTCTATTGTCTTTTAGTTCCATTTTCACTGAACTTTTTGAAGTCCCCTCGTGTGTGTACACACAGTTTTACATGAATAATGCACATGTTCTATATTTGTTTGCCAACCATATTCTCCTTCTGAATGGTATTTCTGTAAAGCACACAATACTATTTTTTATAGCGATAAGTTCAAAAAGGAATTTGGCCTAGCACGGTGATAAAAATGCCTCACTGGGTGGGGGCATGGGTAGCAAACACAGGTGTAACATGCATTATTTGTTTTAAAAATATCAGAGATGAGAAGTTTGGGGTCTTTCAACCCATAGGGTTCTTCTCCTAGGCCTATCCTGTGACCTTTGTTGGCTTGAACATTCCACTTCCTCTATACCGCACCAGGTAGTCAGATTTGCCACTTTGCATTTGCCAGCTAGTCCTTCCCAGTCTTTTGGGGAAAAAATTCTTTTGAATGAAAAAAAATCTTGAATTTCCATACAGTGTTTGAGGAGCTGTTGACTATGTATTAGAAGAAAATGTATTATTCAGCTGCAACCATGGTTCTCAACAGAAGCTATATTTCCATTTTGGATCAGACGATTGTTTCCTAGGCCTGTGCTTTGAAAGTTGTTTCGCAGCATCCCTGGCCCCTGCCCACTAGAAGCCAGTAACACTCCCCACACCCCTGCCCCCCAAGTTCTGACCATCTAAAATAGCTTCAGGCATTTCAAACAACTTTCTTCTGAACTAGAGATTCACAGAAAGTTGTGAAAATACTGTAGAGGGGACCCAGGTACCCTTTACCTAGTTCTTCTCTACTCCCCCTCTCCCCTTTGATATCATCTTATATAGTACAGTGGCCAGAATTGAGAACAACCCACAGAACAGATTCAGAGTGTATCAGTTTCACATGTGCTCATTTGCGAGTGTGGGTGCTTCGATACAATTTTATCACCTGTTGGTTCATGTAACGAGCAAGATACAGAACTATCCCAGCACTACAGCCCTCCTGCAACCCCCACAGCGGCACAACCTGTGACATTCACGGGGGGGGTGGGGGGTGGGGGGGGGAGCTGCACTTCTGTTGCTTCCTGCCTTTTTCTTATGGTGGGAAGTACATCTATGAGATAATTCTCTTCAGGTATTTTTGCCCAGTGTCCCTTAGAGAAGGCTAAATCATCCCTGATTGAGAACCACTGAGCTGCTATGTAGATAGCAACGCTTTCAAAGACTTACTTATGCGATTGCAGCAGGTACAATGGTAAGTCCCAAAGTATTGCTCCTAGTGTTCTGGGAGGGCAGCTGCCAGGCCAGTGCCAGTCAAGGCAAAGAAGGCAGCTCAGAAGTTTGTGGCAGCTGGTTTTGGAGATTCAAAAGAGGTCATCTTGACAGATCTTCTTAAAGGACATAGGACAATGACAGGGTCGTATGATGAAGAAGTTTTGATCAAGTGAAAACTGCATTGGTGAGATAAAGGCTAGGAAAATTTCCTCAAGGATTTTTTTCCCATTGCAACAGTGTACCTGCTCATTCGTCGAGGGTAGCAAGGGCTGCCCTACAAAACTCTCCTTGGGAAACCACACCCCATCTACCCTACAGCTCTCATCTTGCCCCCCACCCCCCGAATGCTTCTTGTCCCCCAAATTCGAAGAACATTTCAAAGGAACACAATTTGAGTCCCTCAAGATGCCCAAACTGCCATTTTGACATGGTGTCCCTCAAAGAGCGCAGCAGTCTTCAGGGAAGGGCACCAGAGCTGGAAACGCCCGTGTTGAACATGTATACCCCTAGATGGAGGAGACGTCGGGAAACAAGAGCTTCACATTTTGCTTTCGCGATGATGTCTGTGCTTCTGCAGCAGTACTTTTAGACTCCCCCTTACATTTGCATTGAAGTTGTGTGTGTGTGGGGGAATGGTATTATGTGCCTGTGGAAAGCATACACTTACTTAGAAAATGCTTCAGGACTGTTTCTCATTCCGTGGGAACCACTGCCTTTAACCTCCCCGCCCCTCCCCCCCCTCTCTCTCACACACGTCTGTTCGCATCTTGGGACTCGCTGGAATACAGGGTATTTGCATCTCTGAGACTTATATCAGGAGGAAAGCTGTGGGCAGCTTACTTGTGTGTGTGTGTGTGTGTGTGTGTGTGTGTGTGTGTGTAGTTTTTTGTGTGTGTGTGATTTTTTTTTCAAACAAAAAGGCACACATGCAGTTTGTAATATGCTTTTCCTCCCATGCTGTAAATCAATAAGATCTTTTCATGTCAGTATGTGTGTGTACACACACGTGTATATGTTTAACATTTTACAGTGACTGCATTTTATTTGGTCTTGTACTTTAATCCATTTCCTGTAGTTATATATTTAGGTGGTTTTTCCCCCCTTTTTTTTTACTTGCTCTGTCGAACCTCAATTAGACAACGTTCACATGTCTAGAGTTGTGTTGTCAGATGCAAGTCTAAAATGAAATGCTTGGACCAAAACGTCCCCAATTTTCAGGGTTTAAAAAAAATGTATTAAGCATATAGTATCGTTAAATAGTACTTCAGAAAGTTTGTACCTTATTTTTAAAATTCTCCCAACCCCATACAAGAGGATCTGTTTCTGGACACTTTTGTAAACACTTAGGAAAATAATTTATAGTTGTTAACTTTGATATGGAACTAGAGTTTAAAATCGATCTTGACCAAAAAAAAATAAATCTGTATTTTTAAACATTGAGCCGTGCTTAGAGAAATACCTCTAATCAGTATGTCTGTGGTATTCTTAGAGAATACCATATATCGGTCTTCTATTACTCGTTGGAGAACTTTCTAGAAGGCCAGAACTTGACAGCTGTGTTGCATCGCAGTAAGTGTGCTATGTGCCTGTTGAAGGCTGCTGTGTGCTCACCGCTGCTGTCTCCCGCAGTCCGGCAGCTCTTCCCTGGCTGAGCTCATGGCCCGCACCTCCCTGGATCTGGAGCTGGATCTCCAGGCATCAAGAACACGGCAGAGGCAGCTGCACGAGGAGATCTGCACCCTTCGAGAACTGAGGCAGCGGTTAGAAGACGCCCAGCTCCGAGGCCAAACTGACCTACCCCACTGGGTACTTCGAGATGAGCGATTTCGGACCCTGCTGAAGGAAGCCGAGAGACAGGTAAGAGGGCGTGGGGTTCCAGGTGTTGAGTGGTTGCGGTCAGGATCCTAGCTCTCGGTGAGCATAGATTCTGAGGTGAAGATCTCAGATAATAAAATCCAAGCAGCTGCCTTGTTTTCTCCCTCCGCAGACCAGGAGGGTAAGGAGGAAGAGGTTAGTGTGCGAAAGGGCAGCACATACATCTTGAGGCTTTGACACTTCTGAGAAAGAGGTTAGAGGGAAAGAGCTCAAGACCAGGCTCCCATGTTGCCATGTGGTGCCATCTTCTGTGAAGAAGTCCCCTGAGGGAATAGAGAGATCTCCACTCCATGTCACACAGCGGTGCAGCTAAGGGATGGCATATATGGCACCATCAGAGGGGGAGCATGGGCACCCGTGAGCATTTTCAGTTTACCATTGCAGTTTCCATTATCAGCTATGAGAGAAGAATTCAACGAGTTACAATGAATATTTTAGTATTTGAGAGCCCCTGTGGGTCAAAGCAGACGGGGTGTGATCTTGCTCTGCTGAGTGTCGAAGGAGAAGACCCAAACTCAGTGCTATTGAGTTGATTCTGATACATAACAAGATGATAGGATCAAGTCGACCTGCCCTGTATGGTTTCCAAAGTGAGAAATCTTGACATCAGCATACTGCCGCATCTTTCTCCCACGGAGCAACTGGTGGTATCAAACCACCAACCTTTCTGTTACTGGCAAATTGCATTAGCCATTGCGCTACCAGGGCTCCTGGAAAGAGAAACGCTGACAAAATAAAACCACCACCACTTTTGGCTACATTGTGGACCTCTTCAAGGAAAGGAAAGTTGTCCATTTGATAGAGTGCCATAATGTTTTAACCAAAAGCTCCATGATAATGCCGTCAAGCATGATCACTCACTGTCATTGAGGCATCCCAGCTCGTGCAACCTTATGGGACAGAAGAGAACTGCCCCTGTGGGTTTCCGAAGTTGCACATCCTTGCAGGAGCAGAATGCTTCATCTTTCTCCGCCGAGCAGCTGGTGGATTTGAACCATAGACCTTGCGGTTAGCAGCTAACCCACTACAGCATCAGACCTCCTTGAGATCATGATAGGAAAGTTATTGATAAGACGGGTATCAGATGTTTGGAAAGGGGCAAAATTTCAGTGCTTGCCATCGACACTATTTTCTGTCTGTCCACCTCTGGGGTCCTAGGACAGTTAAATCCTTCTTGGTGTCCAAGGATGGGAAGTGAATTCATTCACCCACCCTTCAAGGGGCAGAGGGCTCCCCGTTAATCAAATATTGCTGTTCCAGACAAGACAGACCAAACTGGAGCACCATCAGGAGCAGGCAGCTGAGAAGATGCTGAAGAAAGCCTCCAAAGAGATCTACCAGCTGCGAGGGCAAAACCACAAACAGCCCATCCAAGTGCAGACTTTTAGGTACAGAAATAAGGAATCGGGGCTGGGTGTCACTTTAATCTTTGTTGTTATAAAAAAAAAGTAACATAAGCTTTAAGAGGAAAAAACAAAACAGGATGAGTCGTAATGTAAAAAGGAATCAACTAACTGTGGCATTTTCTTCTGATTTTTTTCCCCTCCGCATTTTTCTTTTCTATATTTTTTTTCAAGTAGATATAAATGCCTTAACTACTTTATAATATACTACTGCTTCTTTCCAAATGTCTGCGACTGGAAATGACACCATCACTTACAAACATGCATGCATGTGTCATGTGTGCTTTTTAATTAACGAAAACATTTCAGTTTTTTGACTAACTACAAATGTATGCTGTCCATGTAGAAAAGTGTGCGTTTCCTACGCATACCGTCTAATGGCTTGCCACCAACTGAACATTCCAGATATGACATTCCCAGCACTCCTACATACAGGTATAGAGTTACATATGTACTCCTGTGAGCCTTCCCCACCCCCCACCCCCCCGCCCCCAGGTTGAGGTTAAATTCACATAACATGACATCAACCATGTTAAAGTGAGTAGTTCAGCGGCATTTAGGAGATTCAGAATTGGGCACCCATCACCTTGAATTAGCTCCAAAACATTTTCATCCCCGCAAAGGGAAACCCCATGCCCATTGGCAGTTGCCCCTATTTCCTCCAAACCCCAGCCCCTGGCAACTCCTGATCTCTGTCTATCTCTATGGCTTTGCCTGTCCCAGATATTTCATAGACATGGAAGCAGGCCCTCTGTGGTCTTCTGTGACTGGCTTCTTCCACTCAGTGCAGGGTTGGCAAGGTCCCACCACATGGTAGCAGCAATCATCAGTCCTTCAGACCTGACACAAAATGCTGTAAAATGCTCCGACTCGCTTCCTTCCATTATGATTTAGGACTCTTTTCTTTGCTTCTATTCCTTTATTCATTCATTTATTAATCAAACCGCTGTTAACTGAGTAACTCCAACGTAGCAGGCACTGTGCTTGGCACCGGCGATAAACCAAGGGAGTTGGGGAACTTGAAGTAAAATTTTGAGAATCTGTCTACACACCATCTGTATTGTGGGGATTCAAATTCAGTTCATTTTCTATATATGAAATTCCATGATGGATATGAGATCCTCAATGCCAGCTCTCAAAGAATTTTGGTCATCGTCTAACCTGTCTTTTTTTCCTCCACCCGCCCCGGCTCTAGGGAGAAGATCGCCTTTTTCACAAGACCGAGGATTAACATACTTCCTCTGCCAGCCGACGACGTTTGATGTAGTGCCTTGTACACAGGAAATATTTATCTGCCTGTTTTATTTCCATGAAGTTCTTATACTAGCTAAATTTTTCTTTAAAGTGTTTGTGCAAAGCTATTAATATACACATTTTGTAAAAAACAAAAAAAACAAAACAAAAACACACACACACACAAACTGATATCTATACCTATCTATTTTATAATAGTGACGGCAACAGGGCTTGGTTTTCCCTTGTTGTGAAATTGACATCTCTGAAGACACATTATTTTATAAAAGATCAATTATCATGTTAAGAGTGTACAGTTTTTACGCTGTTTTATTTGACTTAAAGGCTGGAAGACAGAAACGAAGTGAGTGCAGGCAAATTCACTGTATTGTAATTTATTTATAGTACTTTTTTTTTCCTTGAAGGAAAATCCGGACTTTAAGATATATTTTAAGACTGAAACTTTGTTCTTCAGTATGTGTCATGCAGTAGAATGGAGCTCGGGGGCTGGCTTGGTTTCTGACACCTGAAATACCAGCGCAGTGTGTCCTTGGGGTCATTTCGCCCATGTGCGGTCATCATGTGTGTTGTATGCTTTCACGCTCTGTGTGTTACGTTCCAATACCAGCCGCTGTGTTGTAATCGTGATGCAAATGCTGTGTATGCATTGCAGAGCTCAGCCTTATATTTGTGCTGGGCACTACTAACAGCTTCTTGTTTCTGTGTCGCCTTGTGCCTCTTTCTGAGCTTACCACGAGTTGAGAGCAGGTGCCAGAGGCTCAGCCCACCCAGGCTTTTCGCCTGCCTCTCTACGTGGGCTGTCTCGACAGTGCCCTTGTTCCTCAGACAATGCCCAGCCTGCCTTGTGAGTCTGCGCCACCTCCTGGCAACAAACGTGCCAGGTGGCAGAGGAAATCCTATATTACCGTGAAGGAAAGTGAAAAGAACTGGGAACGTGCATTTTCAGTGAAATCACTGAAGAATATAGCAGTTCAAACACAGACGTAATAACCTTTGAAGATGCTTGATTTGTGAGTGACTAGCGTTATACCATGAGTCATTTATTGCAGGAGAGAGTTGAGTTTAAATCTGAGTGTCTCCCTATCCCCATACTGGAATCCACCCAATATTTCTCAAGCACTCTTAAAATTAGCTCATGAGGAAAAAAAATGTGTGTAGTAAAAATACACCTTTTTTTTTAAAAAAAGCCAAACTATAGAACTCTTGGCTGATCACATTTTTATTGTATCTGAATTGGACTCTCCCTTAGGAGGCTTGATGGGAAAATGAGGCGGAGCATGTGAATTGTAGAAGAAAACAACTCTCTCATCCTATATCTTGCTTTCCCTCCATTTGGAAATGTAATTTTTAATCAGGGTCTCTCTCGTCGTGCTACTATGTAACCTCCTCCCTTGTGTAACCAGCCTTCCTTTTTACATTTATTAAAAATGATTTTTATAAAAACATTTCATTGACACACGACCTGTCACGGACAATGGACTTTGTCAGTGGTGGTAAGACTGAAAACTTTATCTTTTACATGGTTGTCATCTCTTGCTATCTATTCCTGACTTTAGTCTTGCCTTCTTTGTTGTTTGTTGATATACCCACCCACAACAGAGATGGAGACAAACTCACAAAGCATCAGTTCTTAGCCAAATTGCCAGTCACGAGATAGCATTGCTGAGCAGTGAAGACAATGGTAAGCGTTCTCTATCCCTTTAAACAGACTTTAAGAATGTAAGGAGCCCTGGTGACATATAGTGGATTATAAACTGGGCTGCTACCCGAAAGGTCAGCCGTGTGAAACCACCAGCTGCTCTGCAGGAGGAAGATGAGGCTGTCTGCTCCCATGCAGCGGTACTGTCTCAGAACCCACAGGGGTTCTACTCTCCCCTGTAGGGTGGCTCTGTGAGTCAGAATTTGCTTTTTGGTTTTGAGAAGACTGTGCAGAGGACTCGTCAGTTCTGCCTCAAGCACACGGCTCACCCGATGAGCTCTGGGTGACTTGCCTGTGGTCTTCCTCATAGTGGCTGCCGCATGTAGCTCTCCACAGAGGTTGAGGCAACTTTACTGTCAGCCTATATTAAGCAGCAGTAGGGGCCAAACTCAGCATGCCAAGTATTTTAAAATAAATTTCTGGTTTATGCAGGCATCTGTTTATGGAGTGGTCCCCCTCACCCCCACCCAAGATATCTTTTTCCCCCCATTTAAAAAAAAATCTCACCTTTGCCTTACCAAAGGTGGGGAAATGTAGCCCCAGCATTTCAGTGTCTATCCATGGAGCTTGTGTGTTTGCCACCTTTCTGTGTTACCTCAGCACTGTATGTGTTGGCTTTCGCAGCTAAACGGGGCCATCACAAGGAAAGAGAAAACAAATGAAGGAGGGAAGGGTGTTCGCCGTCTTTCCTGAAAAGGCAGACAGGCAATGTGAGAGACTGGGCCAAGCAGACAAGGGGGCACAAAACACCCTAATTCGCTTCTCATGTGTGGCTTGATTTTGCAACGTCTGATTAGAAATGTCCCACATGTCAGAAAAAATAACTTCTAATGTTAAATTTACATATAGGCTATGCTTTCTAACGAGAAAACCCCTGCCGTGTTTTAGCAGGAAATGACCAGAATTCTGCCACTAAGGTGCTTTAAAAGTAGTGCTTATGCTCCTTGCAGCTCAACGTTCTGCCAAACCATAGGCCTATCAGGTGAACCATAACATCCTGGGAGATGAGAAGCGCCTTTGCCCAAGGCTCCCGTGCCGGAGGCGGGAAGGGGTGGGAACCACGCACTGAGGACGTGGGGAGAGTGCTGTTACATTGGTGGGAACTGCAATTACTTTCGTGAATCAAAATGTGTATGAACGGTTGATGGGAAACCAATGTGCTCTGTAAACTTTCCCTCAAATCAGAATAAGAAAAATGCTTTTAAAGTCTTCTACGTTGTAAAAGGGGCGTTGGTTTTCACTTTATCTGATCACTGATTTGTCCAGATTGCATAATAACCCCTAAAATCAAGAATTCTGTTGTGGGAAAATTGTATAATCAGTATTCATCTCTTTGTCTTTGTCACTGTTCTTTAATTACGTCATTTGTATTGTTTGAAAGTATTTCTTCTATGAAATTAAACTAACCTGCCTTAAAAGCAAAGTGGGCATGTGTTTTAATTTTTTTATTCTCAAGGCTTCGAGATATTTCAATAGATTCTTCATGTGAAAGTGGAATAAAACAATGGACTTCCCACCCAGTTCAACCTGGATGAGACATGGCAATCTTGTCTCGTCTATACTACCAGCCACTTCTTCCGCACCAATCCCATATATCATTGACTCTGCCAAGATTCCAGTATGTATTGCTAAGAGGAAGGAGCTAATAAACATTCACAGTACTCTTAGCACATCTTAATTCCTTAATATTAAATATTCAGAGTCCAGTTTCCCAGTTGTCTTGTGACATTTTTCTAACTGTTTTGAGATGTACTTCACAGGTCATATACTTCAACCCAGTGGTGGTTAGTAGATTTAGAGAGTTGAGCAAATATCACCGCAATCAATTTTAGATTTTCATCACCTCAAATTACGATATTGATGACTCAATCTCTATCCCTGCCTTCCCTGAGCTCCAGGTACCAATCTAGTTTCTACGAATTTGCCCATTGTAGATACTTCATATAAATTGTCATACCAAATGGGTGCATAAGCAAATGTGGTGAAGAAAGCTGATGCTGCCCAGATATAAAAAGCGATAGCATCTGGGGTCTTAAAGACTTGAAGGTAAACAAGCAGCCATCTAGCTTGGAAGCAACAAAGCCCACATAGAAGAAATACACCAGCCTATGTGATCACGAGGTGTCGAAGGGATGAGGTATCAGGCATCAAAGAACAAAAAAATCTTACTGTGAATGAGGGGGAGTGCAGAGTGGGGACCCAAAGCCTATCTGTAAGCAACTGGACATCCCCTTACGGAAGGGTCGTGGGGAGGAGATGAGTCAGTCGGTACAGTGTCACAGTGATGAAACATACAAGTTTCCTCTAGTTCCTAAATGCTTCCTTTCCACTGCCACTATCATGATCCCAATTCTACCTTACAAATCTGGCTAGACCAGAGGATGTGATGTACACTGGTACAGATAGGAACTGGAAACGGAATTCAGGACGGGTGATCCCTTCAGGACCAGTGGTGAGAGTGGCGATACCGGGAGGGTGGAGGGAGGGTGGGGTAAAAAGGGGGAACTGATTACAGGGATCTATATGTAACCTCCTCCCTGGGGGACAAACAACAGAGGAGTGGGTGAAGGGAGATGTCGGACAGTGTAAGATATGACAAAATAATTTATAAATTATCAAGGGCACATGAGGGAGTGGGGGGGGCGGGCGGGCGGATGAGCCGATGCCAGGGGCTTATGTGGAGAGCAAACGTTTTGAGAATGATGAGGGCAACGAATGTACAAATGTGCTTTATGCAATTTATGTGTGTATGGATTGTGATATTGTGATAGGAGTTGTATGAGCCCCCAATAAAATGATTTTAAATAAATAGAGTCACACAACGTGGCCTGCTGTATCTGACTTCTTTCCCTTAGCATAATGCTCTCAAGATTTCTCCACAATTTAGCATGTACAGTCAGGTCTTGTTTGTGGTCGAGTAATATCCCAATGTTCCAGCAGCAGAACATGGTGAGATAGAGTGCCAGGAGACCCTGGACAAGATGGATAGATACAGTGGCTGCAACGAGGGACTTGAATGTGACAGTGATTGTGTGGCTGATGCAGGATCAGGTAGTGTGTATAGGGGGGCTGTAAGAATGAACTCAATGGCACCTACTGTAATACAAGGCCATAGAGGGTCATACCTAATCTCTGGCTTCCCTATGGCCATGAGGCAGAGGTCAGACAAGCCTCTAGGGTCCATTCTTTGCTTATTCTAACACCACGCCACACTACATCTGTAAGGTTCAATAATTCATTGCAATGGCCACACACAACTTAGACTGCTCACAATTAGGAGGGTTTATGAGGGAAGTCAATAGGCTACCAACCACAAGTCAGGATCAACAAAGAGTAAGGGTATAGTCCTCCATCTTCTCAGCCAGCAGCCAAGTCTCTCTCTCAGCCAAGGTCCTTTTGCCTCCATGGGCCAGGAAGATGGCCTGTCACTCGGTCCCCCAGGTTCATAGTCTCGGGCACGATGAGGAAGAAGGGACCCTATAGTCTCAGTGCTGCTTCTCTGAGTTTCCATGCTGCCGTCTGATGCATTTGGTCTTGGTGGCCTCAGCCACTTTAGACAGCGAATTTTTTAACTCATTAGGGGGCTCTTACAAATCTTATGACAATCCATCATTCAATTGTATTAAGCACACTTGTACATATGTTGCCATTAACATTTCCAAAATGTTCTCTTTCTACTTGAGCCCTTGGTATCAGCTCCTCTTTTCCCCCTCCCTCCCTCCCACCCTCCCACCCTCATGAATCCTTGATCAATTATATATTGTTGTTATTTTGTGTCTTACACTGTCCGTTTTCTCCCTTCACCCTCATTTCTGTTGTTCGTCCCCTTGGGGTGTGGGCTATCCAACCTTGTGATTGGTTCCCCCTTGGCCCCCCTTCCCACCCACCCCGCACCTCCACCATCCCCCTACCCTCATGATATCACTACTACAACTACTGTTCCTGAGGGTTCTAGCTGTCCTGAATTCCATGCGTCGAGAACTCTTATCTGCACCAATGTGTGTACTCCTGTCTAGCCAGATTTGTAAGGTAGAACTGGGTCATGGAAGGGGGGTGGCATGGGGAAGGGGGGGATGAGGAAGCATTCAGGAACGAGATCAATGGTTCTCAACCTTCCTAATGCCATGACCCTTTAATACAGTTCCTTATGTTGTGGTGACCCCCAATCATAAAGTTATTGTCATTGCTACTTCATAACTATAATTTTGCTATTGTTAGGAATCGGGCGACCCCTGTGAAAGGTCGTTCAATCCCCAAAGGGGTCCCAACTCTAGGTTGAGAACCTCTGAACTTCACCCTGGTTGAATTGTCCCTTCCTTGTAACCCTTCTGAGGGGGGCGATGCCCAATTGTCTACAGATGGGCTTTGAGTCTCCACTCGAACACCCCCCCCCATTCACATCAATATAATTGTTTTTTATCTTTTGGTACCTGATACCTGCACCCTAGACAGAGATCATGAAGTGCTCATCCAAGGTGCTTGGGTTTCTCTGTCTCCTCTGCCCTTTCAAAGATAGTTCATCCTTACAGCCTGGAGGGCGGTAATGAAAACTGACCCATCCCTTTTATTAGTGCTACACATACCCTGTTTGCATAGTCTCACCCAATCATTTGGTGAGAGTTACAGAGACTTGGATAGAAGAACCATATTAAGAGATTTCACTCTACCACCCTAACAACAATATTCCATTGCATAAGTATGCATTGTATTGTTCCGATCCCATCAGTTGACAGACACATGGCTTGCTTCCACTTTTGGACTATCATAAGTAAGGCCACTAGGAGCATTCGTGTATTTTTTATGCAAAAGTTTGTTAATTTCCCTTGGATGTACGTACATCTAGCAGCGACATAGGGTGAATATGATACACTTGGGGACACTGCCAGATTGTTCCAAGGCAGTTGTACCATTTTCCATACCCACTAGCAGTGTATGAAGGTCCCTATCTCTCCACGTCCTTAGCAACACTTGATATTATCGGGCTTTTATATTGTAGCCATCCTATTGGGTGGATAGTGTGATTTGCAGTGTGCAACCAACGGCTAACCTAAAGTATGACGGTTTGAACCGATTCAGTAGCTCAGCAGGAAGGCCTGGTGAACTGCTTTCCTAAAGATTGTAACACACACCCCACCCCCCACCCCCGCCCACCCCAGAGCCGTTCTATTTTGTAACACGTGGAGTCTCTGGGAATGGTATCCATAGACAATGATGGGTTTTATTCAGTGAATGTGAACTGGTATCTCGTTGCTGTTATGTCTGCATTTTTCAATCTGTAGAATGTATAAGTTTCCCCCTCCATTGCACATCAGCATCCTTGCATTTGTTGTAGGAAGAAATGAGTTTGTAAGTCACAATCTGAACTTTGCTAATTGTACTATCCCCCTGGCATAGTTAAACACATTTCTCTGAGCTTTATTCCTATACATTAGTAGCTGGGTCTAGAAGCTTCATCAAATTACAGTTCGATTAGAGGTAGGGGGAACAGGTGACATAACTATTTCATTCTGTCACCCATCTGGAGGCTTATAATGTATCTGTGATGTTAGCAATGGTTGAAAATCGTTGTTTTGTGCTGTTCAATTGATTCCCACTCAGTGACCCAGGGGAGCTGTCTATAACGGTCCCATAGGATTTCCTAGGCGGAGATCTTTTTTTTTAAATCATTTTATTGGGGGCTCGTACATCTCTTATCATAATCCATACATCCATCCATTGTGTCAAGCACATTTGTACATTTGTTGCCATCATCATTCTCAAAACATTTTCTTTCTACTTGAGCCCTTGGTATCAGCTCCTCCTTTTTTCCCCTCCCTCCCTGACCCCCTCCCTCACGAGCCCTTGATAATTAATAAATTATTATTATTTACTATATACTATATAGAGAGACTATATAGATGCTATATAGAGATCGTTACTGCAGTAGATCCCCAGGTGGAGGCACTGGTGAGTTTGAATCCCCAACCTTTCAGTGAGATGCTGAGTTCTTAATCATTGAACCGCCAAGGCTCCTTAAAACCATTCCTAGATCCACACATTAAGTGTTGTTAAATGATGATACTCTAATTCTATCATACCTTATCATTTGAGGAATTGATGGAATTCCCATCGAAATGCCTCAGAAAGCTGAAGAAGCACTGGAAGCACTCCGTCATCTATGCTAGGAAATTTGGAAGACAGCTACCTGGCCAAGTGACTGGAAAAGACCCATATCTGTTCCCAGTCCAAAGAAAGGTGACCCAAGAGACTGCTCAAACTCTAGAATGATATCATTGATTTCACTAGCAAGTAAAATTTTGCTTAAGATCACCCAACAATGGTTGCAGCAGCACACTGACAGCACACTGACAGAAGTTCAGGCTGGACTCAGAAAAGGACATAGAACCAGTGATATCATCTTCACAGAAAGACCCTATATCCAAA